CAGGTCATAAGGTCCGTAAGGCACCGAACTCGAGGACAAAGGTGTTTCGTGTGTCCAAACATTGTCGACGATGATTTCGTGGTAATTACAACTATTCTTTTCATCACTCCTCAGTACTATCATTAACTTAACTATCCCAAAATGGATGTACATAGAAGGATGTAAGGAAATGTCAATTCGTACAATGGATTGACACAGTCAGAGTTACTTCAAGTGGCGGGCCGATAACGCAACCTGAACCGACCATACAGTTCATTCATGCTTGGATGGAGTACGAACGTCGGGTGGAAATTGCAAGCTTAGACTGGAGGAACAATCCATTAGGGTTACCTAAATGGTCCGAGCGTCCAAAGTGTGGGTGCAGAGATCGCTGGCAGGTGGCTATATCCTTTGCTGAACAAACATTTCGAAGGAGATATTTTGTCTGCCCCAATGTAGACAACGATTTCGTTGTATGTCTAACCATTTACAAAATCCGCTATGATTTGCACAAAATTACTACCCAAACTAAATAACATTACTATTTTTACAGGGCAATCCAAGGATGGGTGGATTTACTTGATGGATCGACAATGTCACTCCATCATATCATGGCCAGAAGATAACAGAGTCAGAAACACAAGTAGAGTATCAACGATTGAAGGACCACGAGAATGCAATGCATTCTGACCGACCTAGAAGGTGCCGATAGGTTACCGCATGCTTGATTCGTCGAGATCGACAAATTTGTACCGTGTATCGATGGCACTTCTTATCTATCTTATCATTACAATGTTTAATTATGGTGGTGATTTTTTGTATGCGTAAGACTAAGGGCCTATTTGGATTGCTACCAAAAACATGCCCTACCAATATTTTGGTAATTTGAATAGTACTTGTGTTTGATTTCGATTGAAGCCTATTCATTGGTAATACGTAATCTAGATTTGAGATTATGTAGAACATTCTTCACTACAATTTTACATTTTGGCAGCAAACCAAATATGATCAAATGCAATTTTACCTTACCAAATGTTTGGTAGTGCCAAAACTTGCTTATATTTTGGCACTAACAAAATATTTGTACGGTAACATTCCAAATAGGCCCTAAAAAATAATAAAATTGTATTTTACCAGTCTTGGAGATTTTAATCTTGTATAGTTTTCAATATAAAAAGATTTGATAACTATTGATATTTATACAAAAATATAAAGCACAGTATAAATTCGCCCTCCCCCAGGGCGGCAAGGGGGCCGCCTGCAAAATTCCAGGCCCCCCGCCGCCCATTTGCAGGCGGCCCCCCGCACAGTACAAAATCGCCCTAGCGGAGGGCGGCAAGGGGGCCGCCTGCAAATTTCGTTGACGGCCGTCGCCCGAGAGCGAACGGCCGTCTGCCACGTCACTTTCGCCGCCCTCTAGGATGGCGATTTTTAAAAATCGCCCTCCCAGAGGGCGGTAGGCGACCACTTCTGTCAATTTTCAAAATGAAAAATTATTTTTATAAAACTTTTAATAAAAAAATTAAAAATAAAAAAAATTCCGGAGAGCGCAGTTGCCGGCATTCCGGTGACTTGGGCAGCCCGGCCCAGCGTGCTTCGTGCCAAATCGGGCCATGCCGGCCCGGCCCGGCACCACTCATCGTGCCGTGCCGTGCCAGCACGGTCTCTTCAGGGACGCGGCCCAATAGCCTGATGGGCCTATTCGTGCCGGGCCGGCACAAGCACGGCCCAAAAGACAGGAGAATATATGTGTGTACTGTATGTGTACTGTGTACTACTAATTGCAGTCATCCATCGGTGGCTAGCAGGTAGCATGGACGGAAATTTGAAAAAAGAGGCCGTGCTGGCAGGTAATACGAAAAGGAGGAGTATGCGTGTACTGTGCTGCAGCGTGCAGGCGTGCAGCACTGCAGCCTGTAATACGAAAAAGAGGAGGGAAATTTTGGAGGGAATCTGAAAAGATGAGGGAAATTTTTTGGGATAGAGTAGGGAAACGATATGGCCACACTATTTTTCCCTGCTGACTCTGCAATACTTGATTTATCTCGTCTAAAAATATGCAATATATTTTTTCTCACATCAACTGCAAATAACTTGAGACGTAAAAATTGGAGGAAAACAAATTTATTTCATAATAGAGATACAAAGTTGTTGCCTCATTAAAAACCTTACGCTCTAGAGTAGGGTTCCCCCAGTAAGGAAAAAAGTATAACAACTTGCTTACATTATTATAAATTACATTACTAATTTTGATTGGCACCGCCGCCATTAGTGGTGATGCCAAATTCCACCAACGCTTCTGCTGCTACTTGAATAATCTCTGGATCCTCTAGCCGGTGTTGCGTCCTTGCATCTGCTTCAATCCAGTCTTTAAGGCAAAAGATTGCCTCAACTACGTCAGGTGCAAGAGATGACCTCCTTTCTTCAATAATTCTTCCAACCACGCTAAATGCATGCTACGAAGAGACAGAAGAAGCCGGAACCAATAGAACGTCCCGTGCAAAGTGAGCTAGCACAGGAAGAGTCCGCTCTTTCTCTTTCCACCACTCAAGTAGATCAACATCTTCACCATCCAGTGTTCGATCATGTTCGGTGTGATTGGTGTTGAGGAAATGGTTAAGCTTTGCATCTGGGTTCCAATTTGACCTGCTACCTGATGAGGAGGCTTCTTCCTTGCCCCTGATCTTTTTCCACAAATTCATTGCACTTGATTTGCTTTGCTTTTTTTGTGGGGTTTCCTCAGGCACCCGATGAGCAACACTTAGCTTAGTTTGGTACAGACGGAAAACCCTGAACAACTCATCTCTAGCATGTTGATAAGCTTCAGAATAATCAAGACCCATTGCATCACCTATTGATATGAAAGCAGCCTCCACGATCTCCAACTTTTTATGAGGATCAAGTACCAAAGCAAAACAATAAAGGTGTGGAATAGCAGTGAAGTACTTGAGAAATTTTCCTTCCATTGGTTAAACAACATAAGCTAAAACTCTATCATGTTGGTTTTCTCGCAACACAAGGGACAATTTCCAAATACATTCAAGCACCAAACAAGAAGTAGGATAGTAAATCCCAGATAGTAGAGTGTCGACGTTTGATGTCGCAATTCTGGTATTTGCATGGTATGGGGATCGTTGGTGCTAGGATATACGCGAGACTGAGGTAAAAGAGACAGAGACGAGGATTTTTATACAGGTTCGGGCCCCTGAATTGTCAGGTAATAACCCTACATCCTATTGGCCGAAGCCGGTCGTTGATATTATTCACCATAATCACACCAGTATAATATTTGGGGTAGCCTATCTAACTGTTGTCGACATGGCGGTCTGAAGGTCTGACTCGTAGTCGACAACAGGGTAGTCTTCCTCCTCGAATCTGTGCCCGGCGAGATCAGAGATAGCGCTTTCGTCTCTCCTGACAGTATCTGGAGACACCGTAGGGGACTATGCGTGCCTATCCCTGAAGTCGATATCCGGCGGCTTGTCTTGGCGTATGTTGGCTTGTATGTTGTGGCTTCTGTTGTTCCGTGCATGTTGATTGAGGTGGTCGTGTCCCCTCTCCTCCTAGGGGGTCTTGTTTTTATACCCATAGGTGTCCCCTTGTCCAAGTAGAACTAGGGAAACCAATATGGATACAATCCGAATAGTCATTGTCGTTTCCATGTAGAACTCTGGTTGTCTTTCCTTATCCGGAACTCCCTCGAGGTCAGTTTCCGTATAAGACATGGTATGTGGTGGATCCTACCGAGATTTAGTCTACTATTAGGTATGTGGTATCCATAACTCTGACATAGGGCTGTAGCTTTATAAAAAGGCTTTAGGAATATACGCAGACGTCTTTCTATGTCCCATTCTTCCTCAGTAAGAAGCAAAATCATATCTCACATTCACCATTCTCATCAGTATCATTACATCTAACATGCAATGAATTGATGAAAACAGAAATTATTTCCTCATACCCTTTCAGTTGACGCAGCATGAGGTATGTTGTGTTCCACCTATGTTTCACATCAATGCCAAACATCCTCACTGGTTTATCCTTTGCTTGGCAATAGTCCCGGAATCTCGCCTTCATCACTGACTGACTCCCGATGATAGAAACAGCTTGACGGATCTTGTTGAGTAAATTGGAAATAACAGTAAATCCTACATAGATAATAAATTCCTTGTCATAGATGCATTAAAGTTGATAAATTATTTGCACTAAAAATGAGTTTCAATAAATTCTCAAAGACTACTAATACCTGCTTGCACAATCAAGTTGATGATGTGGCAGATGCATCTCTGATGGATAACATAACCTCCAATGTAGCTTTGCAGATTTGACTCCAAAATCATCATGGCCGTTGTATTTGCTGATGCATTGTCAAGAGTAATAGAAACCACCCTAGATTGTAAATTGAATTCTTGCAGTAGATTGTAAATTGAATTCTTGCAGTACATCTAGTAGTGTGGTAGCAATGGCTTGTCCAGTTTGTGATGACATCATTTTAAAGCCTATAACCCTCTTATTTAGTTTACGATTATTGTCAATATAATGCACAACAACACTAAGATAAGAGGTTCTTTGGTGCTTGGATGTCCAAATGTCAGATGTCACAGAAAAAAAAAAGCTAACAGTACTGAACGAGCGTTTCAACTCATCCAACCTAGAACGATATAATGCAACAATATCGTTCTTGGTGGTTTTCCTTGATACCTAGGTGTACTATGGACAAAAAGCATTTCGGATCATCCTCTCAAAATTTTTGTTTTCACCCATCCTAATTGGTAGGTTCTTCGAAACTATGTAACGAGCAATTTCATCTCGAGCTACTCGTGGCTCATAAGTCCATGTACTTACAGAACCGTCGGGTCCGAAGCTCAGTTGTGTCTGCCTTGCTCCTGCCGGTGCTTTATCCTTGAGGTGTGTCAAATAATACCGGTTGAGATGTCCTATTCCTGAACTAGAAGATGCAGACAAAGATTTTCCGTAAAATGTTTACAGGTAGCACGTGTTACCAGTTGACCATCTACTATTACCCTGATTTTTTTGAAGTGCCGCCAACGCTCCACTCTCCCTGCAGATGGTGCAAATGGCTCAGCCTCGCCTCCCGGTGTAGACAAGTCTGTGTCGTCGTTGGCCTTGGGGATGAGCTGTTCCATAGGATCATCCCCATCTCCCTCCAAACCATCCATATGGCGGTCATCTACCCCGTAGTCGTCCATACCCGGGGATAGTTGGCGGGCATCGACCGACCTACGGAAAGGATCAGGCGAGCGTCGGCAGTGCCTTTCCGGGGGTCTCGACGAGGTCGACCTCCGACGAGTATCACCCCACATGTTTGCTGTGGGAGGGAAATAATTATGTTGCTCTGTTTATTTGTGCTGCATTTTTTTTTTTTTGCCGGGAAGAAGAGGAGGAATTTATAGAACAACTTGCCATGCCGAGCAGTTGTTTCTTGTTGCACTAGCACACGTCACGCCACAGTGGTACAGTACCACGCAACACGTGGTCAAAGGACTTCAGGGAGAGTGTCAAGTAGTTGGGTCCCACTGTCCTTTTTTGCTTTTTTACTTTATTTTTTTCCTCTGCTTTTCTATTCCTCTCGGCATCTCCTCTTCTCTTTCTTTTTTTTTTTTTGACGCAGCTCTTCTCTTTCTTCGCTTCTTTCTCTCGCTTCTCTTCTTCACCACGCGCGCATGGCGATGGCAGGATAAAACCGACGGACAGCATCGAGGCACCGAGGCAGGGCAGGAGGCAGGAAGAGCCGTCATCAGCCGAGCAAGGAATCACAGGTACTACCTACTACCTAGTCCGAGCGTTTGTCCGACGGTAGATGGCAGGTCGTGCACTCGTGCCCGGCGCCGTGCGGCACCACAGTTGCGTCCGTTCGGCCGTCTGCCGTCCCCATCCCTGGTACTCAACTGCGTCCGTTCAGCCGGCCGGCGCCACTCGGCTGCGTCCGCGCGGCGCCACGGCTGCGTCCGTTCGGTTGCGCCAATGCGGAAGGGAATCGCCGGACACCGTCGCATCCTTGCAGGAGATGCTCTGAGCGTCTTGTTGCTGTGGCCTGGAACGAGATGCGAAGCGGGAGGAGGCGCCGAGCGTGCGCGACGACAGAGGCGCGGGTCACGGGCGCGACGAAGAGTCGAAAGACGAAGGACGAAGCGGCGCCGCTCAGCCTTTCTCCGATGCGAGTGCGCTCTTACGGGCCATCGGGCCGTCATCATGCTTACGGGCCATCGGGCCATTATCGTGCCGTGCCGGCCCAAGCACGGCCCACTGGTCGTGCCGTGCCGTGCCGTGCCGTGCCGCCCGTCGTGCTTGTTGTGTAGGCCCAGGCACGGCCCATATACGGGCCATGCCGGCCCGGCCCATTTACGGGCTGTGTCGGACCGTGCTTTGGAATAAGTTTACCGGAGGTCCCTCAAGTTAACAGCGAGATTTTTTTGTGTCCCTTAACCACAAAAACAGAAATGTACACCCTAAACTTACTCAAACCGTTCAAAGGAGGTCCCATAGCAGTATATAGGGGTGGTTTCGCTGACGTGGCATCCTAGTCAGCAAAGAGAGAATAAAAAATTTATGGGGCCCATATGTCATCCTCACTCCTCTCCTCTTTTCTCTATCCTCTCTCTTCAACAGGGCAGGTGGAGCGGCGTCGGGTGCTCCGATGGCACATGAAGCAGAGCGGAGAGGGGTGGCGGCGGTGGGGTGCAGAGGAGACCCAGGCAGGACGGCGAGGACGACGACGACGCGGCGGGCAACCTCCTCGCCCGGCCACCTCCGCCGTTGCTGCCCCCTCCTCCACCCACCTCCACCTGCCGACTATGCTCCTCCTCCGGCGGGCGGCGGAGCGGAGCGGGGGTGGCGGCTGGCGAAGGGTAAGGAGCCCGCCACGTCAGCTCCGGCAACGGCGACGGCATCGGCATCGTGGTGAGGGGTAGGCGGCTTGGGATCGGGGGCCTCGACGACGGGCGGCTCGGGATTGGGATCGACGGAGAGGGATGGGGTGAAGAGGACCATCGCTGCCGACCCATGTGTCGCCGCCGCCGCCTTCGTCGTGGGACGCCATCGCGGCGAGGTGAGGTCTCGAGGGTCCGCTCTGCTGGCTGCGCGCTCGCGGGCCTGCTTCGGACGCACGCCGCCGCTTCGCTCCGCCGGCCGCATGCTCGCCCGCCGCGCGCCCGCAAATGCTCTGTCGCCTCTTGTCCGCCTCCACCGCCGGCCGCTCTGCTCCCTCTCTCGGACCTCCTCTCCCTTCTCTCCCGCCAGCGCGGCCGGCCGCCTCTCCCCATCTGCGCCGGCGGCGGAGCTCGGCCGGGCTCGCTCGCCGGCCACCTCGCCCCCATCTGCCGCTCTCTGCTACCCGCTCCGCACCGCCTCCATTCCACTTTGCCGGCCGCGCGCCCGCCGCCGCCGCCGCCGCCGCCACCCCACTCTACTCCGCCGGTCGCCGCCCGCTCACCGCCTACTCCGGCCGCTCGTCGCCACCCGTCACCGCTCACCTCTGTGGCAAAGAGAAGAAAGAAAAGAGGAGAGAGAGGAGAGAAAGAGAAAAACAAGAAAATGTGGGCCCCACATTTTTTTCCATTCTCACTTACATGTGGGCCCCATAACTTTTTTATTTTTTATTTTGCTGACTAGGATGCCACGTCAGCGAAACCACCCATATAAGCTGCCATGGGACCTCCTTTGAACGGTTTGAGTAAGTTTAGGGGTGTACATTTCTGGTTTTGTGGTTAAGGGACTAAAAAAATCTCGCTTTTAAGTTTAGGGACCTCCGGTGAACTTATTCCCCGTGATTTCTACCGTGCCGGGCCGTCGTGCCTTGGGCCGGTCTGATAAAGCATGACCCAAGTCCCAGCTCCTATGGTGGAGATGCTCGCATAGTAGCTACTGGATAGAGTAGAGAACGGGCAAGGAAGAAAGAGGAAAAGATGTGGGTCCCATTAACATATAAAATAATACTTTGGCTAAAAGTATACTATATATCACTATTGTGTAAGTTGGCGGTATAGCGGGTTGTAAATGACCTAGAGATGACACGTATGCTACTATAGTTGACAGCTAGCGCTTCTATTAAACCTGCTCTTAGAATATTAGTATGAGAAATTACCGGTAAAATTTCAGCTCGTGAGAAAACAGATAAGCTGAAAAGAAATCAGATTCCGACTTATCATCTACTCCATCCGTGTTAGTTGTTACGATAAATATTTGACTATTCATCTTATTTATTTTTTATTAAATATAAAAATATTTATGTAATACTTAAAGAATATTTGATGATAAATCAAATCATAATAAAATAAATGATAATTACATAATTTTTTAAACATGACGAATTATCAAACGTTGATATAAAAATTAACGGCGTCATATATTAAAATACGAAGAGAGTAATTCTATAACTACTACTTAAAATTTAAGAAAGAACTAATTTGTTTGATAAGCTTTTAAATTTGAGAGAAGTTGTAGCCGTGAGCAGCTCTGTGAACAGATTCGCTCTAGCTGTTGGAATATATATTGGCCAGCGCAATCAAACCTCCTCACTGGTCAGTATCAAGTGCACCAACCATGCAGTCAACTACAACGGCAATAATAAGGTCTTCTCCAATCAGGCATTCCGAGCAACCCTTATCAAATATAATTGTTTTATCTTTTTTTTTCGAAACTGTGTAGATTGTTTAAATAACCGGAGGAAATTACAGCATGACGATGTTATAACACAAGATATGTCAAAATATTAAAAGGAGATCCACACGCTACTTAAAAAATAATTTTTGTTGGACGACACCCTCCTTATATTGCAGACGGATCAGAACTGATCTCATCTACTAAAATCGACCTTTATTTTCATATATAGCTCTTTAAGAGGACTGCACGTAAAAATAAGGCTACGCGAAAATCTATTTTTTCTGGCAGACCTATTAAGGATCTACCTAAAATCTAAACCTAAAATCTAAGTTACCTCCTCTTTTCCCCTCCACAACATTTCAAAATTTTTCATCCTTATATTCTCTCACTTCCTCTCCTCTCCTATCTCACTCACTGGCAGGCAACGGTGGCAGTCGGCGCGGCACGCCGCGGTCACGGCGGCAGGCGGCAGCTGGCGCGGCGCACGGCGGTGGGCGTCTGCGCCACGACGGTGGGTGGCAACTGGCGCGGCGCACAGCAGTGGGCACAACGCACGACGGCAGCGGGTGGCGGGCGGCAGCTGGCGCGGCACACGGCAGCGGGCGGCGAGCGGCACCTTCAGCGCGGCACACGGTAGCGGCGGCGGGCGGTGAGCCCTGCGACAACAGCGGTGGGCAGCACCTCGGGTGCGGCGCACGACAGTGATGGCAGCCGGCTCAGGCTTCCTCGGTGACAGGCTCGGCTCGTGACGACCGGCGGTGTGCTGGCTCGGCAGACGGCGCTGGGCGGATCCGCCTCCGCCGGCCCTGTCAACACTAGTGCTGCGACCGCCGGATCCATGCTGCCGCCGTTGGGATTCTAGGGTTTCAATTCTTTGATTTTTTTTCAGATTTTTATTTACGTGCAGACGACATAAGCACCCGCACATATTTTCACGAGCAGGTGTGCTTCCCGTACATAAAAAAACAATTAGATTTTCACAGATCATTTTGGGCAGATAGGCTAGCCTTCCGCACGCAAAATAGGTTTTGGGCCGCCTAGAAAAACCTACTAGTGACATATTACAACATCTTAAGAGATACAATCACAGGATCGCAACCAAAAACATTTTCCAACTTTGGCACGCGTACTAATTGGATACCAATTTGTCATCGACATCCTGATGGACAGACAAATATTTATAGGTTTTCATTGACAATCTTAAAAAAAAATACTTCATCCATTCTATAATGTTCTATAATATATGGAGTTATACCATTTTTTTTAAAAATAAGGATACAGAAAAAGTGCATGTCATGGTACAGAGGCGAATGAGGGAATAAAATAGTAGAAGAGTAGATGGGGAATTAGTATAAGAGTTCATAGGTGGAAGAATAAACTAATACATGACTTAATATAACAATTGTTTTATATTGCCACATATGGTGAGAAGCGTGCTAATCCTTAGGTCTCATTGCTTAATAAAGCTTACCATTTCTTTTAACCGGCAATTATGAAAGCTAGATAAGAAAATGGAGAAATATGCATAATATTGGCTTTGCTAATGCCACTACTAGAAAAATAATTTTTCATAGCGGTATCCTATTTTTTCCACTGGCGGTTATATGAGAAATCCGCTTGCGAAATTCTAACGAGGGATAGAGGGTTTAGAACCGCCAGCGGTTACTTAAGAGCACCGCTTGCAAAAACACATCTATTTTTACAAGCAGCGCTCCTAAGACCCCGCTAGTAAAAATAGATTTTCAGTAACAGGGTGTAATAGCCACCGCCATAAAAAATCATGGGATTGGCATAAATCCCGCATTCACACACGGTGAGACCAAGTCCAACGCATACACTCCAACCACTCCTCTCCCTTCCATCCCACTTCTCCCAGATACACCGGCCATCTCTCCTCTCCCTTAATCATGGGTGGTGTGCGGCGGCAAGGATAGCTGAGGTGGCAAAGCTCGTGGCGCGTGGCGGCGGCGCGACGGGGGCTTGCGGCAGTGGCGCGCGGGCGGCTCACGGCCGGATCCGCCGCTGACGCCGACGGTGGAGGTCGGATCCGCCGCCGCGATGACGTTGGAGGCCGGATCCGCCGCCGCGACGAAGGGGGAGGCCGACGAGGAGGGTTGGTGCGGATCCGCCAGCGTCAGTGCTCGGGCTGTCCTTCACGGCGGTGAAGGAGGTGGATCCAGCGGTGGACGACGACGACGGCTCCCGCGACGACGAAGACGGCTACCGTGACGATGACAACGATGGCTACGGCTTCCTTGCGACCCTTCTTGCTCGCCGGCTCGCCGCTGTACCGCCACAAGGTGCCTCAAGGGAAGCCCGCTTGTGATGATGGTGATGGTCGTCGCCACCGCCGTGTGGAAGTTCATGGCGTTCCTGAACAAGGCGGTGGCCACGGCGAGGTGTCGTGGGTGGCGGCCAAGGAGGTGGTGCAGCTGTAGCGATTGGAGGAGGACGCCGGAGTTTACGCTACGTCGAGTCCTCCATGGATTTGGGATTTTGGGATTAGGGATTGGGGATTTTGGGGTTTTTTTTTTGCAGGAATGTGAATTGTGGATTTGGGATGTGAATTGGGGAATGTGAATTGTGGAGTAGATTTTGAAACGAGAACATGAAGTTTGAAATTTGATTTGGGATGTGAATTGTGGATTTGGGATGTGAATTGAGGAATGTGATTTTTATTTTTTTTCTCCGAAATTATTTTAGCTGGTGGGTCATCTTACTTGCCGCCAGCGAAACTAGCTTTTTGCTGGCGGCCACCCACCATCCACCGCCAGTGAAAATATGTTTTCGCTGGCGGTCCACATAAGGCTGAAAATTGAACTTCTCTAGCGGTTTTTCGCCGCCAGCGAAGATACTTCATCTTCATTGGCCTTTGCTTTGTGACGGCTCTAAATGCCGCCAGCGAAAACCCAAAATGGCCGCCACGAAAGATGGTTTTCGTAGTAATGTGCAATTCCAATATTCTTTAGCACTACTAGGAAGAATATATTAAATAAGAAAATACTACCTCCATCTATAAATAAATGTGTATCTATCAATTGAAGGACAAAATTAGTATGGTTATAGAAATTTAAATGACGGGTAGTTGAGTAGAAAAGGAATACTTTACAAATTTACTTATTTCAGATAAAATTTAAGAACTAGAAATGTATTTATTTAAGAATGAAGGTAGTAATTACAATCTCATTGGTTTTTTTCGAGCCAAGGAACACCCCCGGCCAATGCTTTTTAAAGAAAAGAAAAGATAAATAACAATGTGGAAAGGCTGCCAAAGCAGAGCATTCCACCGGATCATGAAAGCTAGTAACAACTACTCTAAGGTAGCACTCCCATTGGAAAAACACTAAAATATAATGATTGAGTGCTAACCCACTCATCAGATTTTAATTCTCGATGTCCACGGATATATTATATTTATGTGAGACAATAATAATTAATTTAGTAGGATCAGGAATTTTTTTAAAATAATTTTGTAAAAATCAGGGATTTATTGGAATTCATTGCTGCTAGTTTCTGTCTCTTGATCAGTGTGTAGGACATTCATATATTACGTGTAATGTTGTCACTGATGTGCGTAATGGTGCGCACGCGTTTGCATCTTCCACATAACTAGGGAAAAAACAAGAACTCTTCAGAAACCGTTGACTTTTTTTAATACATTTGACCATTGGCTTATTTAAAAAATTTAATATGATTATCATGTATTTTACTGTGATTTCAATTATCTTCGAATATTCTTTAAGCATGACTTAATTTTTTTTATATTTGCACAAAAATTTTGAATAAATCAAATGGTCAAACGTTATAAAAAGTCGACGATATCATCATATATTAAAAAACAGAAAGTAATTTCCTGGGCATGATACTATTGTCAATGGCATGATGATGTTGCCCTCGAACAGGTCGCTGGCCCATCGTTCTACACAGCCCGTCAGCGGCGCCCAACAATTCTGCCCCGAGGTGGTGAGTCCAGGGTATAAACCGACGTAGAGAACCCGGAGCAATAGACGCCATCAGGCTCTTCGCCGACAACGAGTGTGTTCGGCAGTGCTAGTAGTTGGATGCATTGCAGCCATCAGCTACAGTCCAACCACAAGAAAGATATAGGAGAAACGGCAATGCTGCGGCTGCATAGCCGCAGTTAAGCACTACCGAATAACCTCAACGTTTGTGTGATTTGTTTTTCACCCTGGGAGTGATCCAACTCCTCAGGCTATTTTTATTTTGAGGTGCACATGCTGCCCGGGCCTCGAGAGATGCTCGGGTCCCAGGTACATAGAATACCCGTGTTTCCTAGCCGTGCCCGAGCCCCGGGTACGCTTCCATGCTTTACAACAAAAGATCTCATTATGTTTGATAAGCTTCTCGAATATATCGTTGGAAGAAGTTTATGATGGACATAGCTTACTAGAGTCATACCAAGTTACATACGTAGATACCTTGAAAATATAAATCTTGTATATTTGGCTTGCGTTCTTTGCGTCCCCGAGTACTCGGGGGTCAATCACAGGGGAGATGTGTTATAGGTACATCCCCCGAGAGACAAGTGCCCTGAGCGTAGCCCTTGGGGGCTGCACCTAAAGGCAAATATGCCCCGAGAAGTAGTAGTGTCGCTTGGGGTCCAATGTGTGCCTCGGGAACTACCCTCTGGGTGCACCCTGGGGCGATAACTCGGGTATGGCCTGCGAGGGAGATCATCTGAAGGCATATGTGCCTTGAACAGAAGCAGTCTCAATCAAAATCCGATGTGTACCTCGGGCACTGCCCACTGGATGCACTTAGAGGTTGTACTCTGGCACGACCCGCGGGTAGGGGTGCCCGGGGGGGGGGGGGGGGAGGGGAGCACACCTAGGGATATATGTACTCCGAGCAGAAAAGCTCGGGTCATCCCGGGGGTCGTGTCCGTGGATTAGTGGTGAAGATGTGATGTGTGGCCTGTAATGGGATTCTAGTTTTCATTTCTCCAACATAGTCTATTTTACTGTGTTGTATTAAATATCGACTAACATTTACCCTAAAATAGTTTTTATTGCTGTGCTTTTTTTTATCAGCAGTATCCTAACAAATAAGCCACCCACAAGTTTTGACAATTTGACTATTTGCAAAAACTAATTTTATAAATGAACGGTGGCTAAAACTTATTTCAGAAATGACCATTTTGTTCAGCGTCAAATCGTATGGCGCTGAACTTAGACAGCTCAGTGCCATGTCAACTGGCGTCGAATGCTGTGCCACCGCAGATGGGAGATTGAGTCGGCGTGCCAACGTGCATTCAGCACCGTGCTATTTGGCGCTGAGGTGTCTAAGTTCAGCGCCATACGATTTGGCGTTGAACAAAATGGTTATTTTTGAAATAAGTTTTGGCCACGAATTATTTGTAAAATTAGTTTTTACAAAAGGTCAAATTGTCAAAATTTGTGTAATCCACCGGTGTCACTGTTACTGAACACACGTATATATAGATCAGATCCAATGCTGTAACTTGCACTAGATCTTGCAGTAAATATGTTGTGGTACCATGCATGCTAGTGGCTTGCCACGTAGATGAGAGTAAATTATGCACTGGTTATTCTAAAACTAGCTCCATGCAAGTATATATGCGTAACTACGATCACTCTGATCCACCCATCGATCGATCATTAATTTGGTTTTCTCACTTTCAATTAGCTATATATATATATAGTCACTTGTAGTTGAGCAGCAGGTTGCGGAGGTCGACGGCGTCCACCTCATCCACCCGGTTCTCCGGGGCCCAGCACCCCGTCTTCGGGTCCCGCATCCAGGCCACGTCTCTCTTCGCCGTCGCCGCCGTCGCCGCCGAAGCGACGTCCGTTCGCCGGCCGGCCGCCGCTGCGTCGGAGGCGCGCGTGGTCACCACCGCCCGCGCGTACACGCCGTAGCACCGCCGGCTATTCAACACAAAACACATGCAACTAATTAGTAATTAATAAACAAACATTAAACCATGATGAGAAAATCGAGCATACAATTTTTTTATAAATGAACAGTACTTTCTTCGTTTCAGGTTATAAAATGTTTTACCTTTGTTCAAAGTCAAACTGTTTCAAATTTAAAAAATTTATAGACAAATATAGTAATATTTAATACTAAATTAGTTTCATCAAATAGATAATTGAATATATTTTCATAATAAATTTATCTTTGGTTGAAAATATTAATATTTTTTCTATAAACTTGATCAAAGTTAAAATAGTTTGACTTTGATAAAAATCAAAATGTCTTGTAACTTGAGACGGAGGGAGTACCAAATAGTGCGAGATGATCATATAGTGACATAGTATAGAAAATGAAATTACAAAACTATAGCAACCAATACGTCATGCCGCACGTCTACAACAGATGGCCTAATGCTGAGAGACAGACAAAAACACGGCATCCCACTACACTTAAAACCATCCATATTTTTGGTACGAGAGAAGGATGGATTTACATGGTATACAAACCAACATTAAAATTGATGCTGGTAAAAAAGAAAAAGATCTCTCACCTGATGATGCCGGAAATGACGCTGCTAATATTGGACATTGTAAGAGCAATGTGTAATCAAGCAGCTTAGCACAGGTAGTAGTAGCCAGGAGATCAAGAAATATCACTTGGCTGTGTAGTACTACTTGTTTGTTGTGAGCCAAGGGTGTGTCTTGGAGGTGCTCATTTTATAATCAGAGTGGCATGCTAATCAAAGCCTAATTATTATTCCTATTCCTCCTGATGGAATTTGGGAAGAGGCCGAATCTTGGAAAGGTTTGGTCGGACAGCCAGAAATCCAGATATTCGGTCTGAGCCTAATATTGTATACGGATGGATTGCTACTGCTATATCATGGTTGCCATACATGGGGATATATGCTCACTACCTTTAATTGTAGCTTTTCAATAACAGAACTTTTACATGTAAATTAAACGTGATACTCGACCGTGTGTATATATGCCTGCGTGCCTTTCGGCGCATTAAGGTTAGTTTATGCGATAGGTACCTACCTTGCTGAAAAGCAGACGCAAAGAGTAATTGGATATGCTGCGCACAAGGTTAGTTTGTCTAAATCACCAAGAACAGTAAGTCCTCTGTTTTTTTTTCTTCTTTCATTTTAACTAGGAACAAAGCCCGTACATATGCGCAGGAATCTTGTTGATTGTTTTATAAAAAAAATGTTAAAAAAGATCGTATTTCATCATTTCTACTTAAATGATAAGAGTATTTCTTATATTTAAATAAAACACTTTGACCGAGTACCATATAAATTACTACTTCTTATTATGTTTTAAAAGCTGAGTAATAGATGAAACTGCATATGTACCATAAAATAAGCATAATATATCTTTAATACACTAAAACATCCGCTACTTAGATTTCATATCTCACTTATTTGTAAATCCATATATAAATATTGTAACAATACCGCTACTCTAATGGATAAGGCTGATCATAGCCGCCACGACTTTGGTGAAGGAGAGCCTGGCTGAAGAGGTAGCCACCAACGTAGATGAGAGATCGTTGCCAGAGAAGTGGAGCCAGCCGTCGTTGCGGCAGTTGGAGAGGTCGGTGGCGAAGATACGGGCAGTGACACCTTGTCGAGGAAGGAGATGAGCGCCTTCCGTGTGGCGTTGGAGGCCATCACGCCTTCTGAGTCAACAACGTTGGCGGCGGTGGACGGATCGACGTCATGGCGGGCGGAAGGTTGGAACGCCTCGCGCACGGCGTCAGCGATGGCGGCGGAGGCAGTGTTGACCGCAGCCAAAGGGGAGAGAGAACCGTCGGCCATGGCGTGGGGAAGAGAGGGGCATGGCACGCAGCGAAGGGGTTAGGGTTTTTGGCAGAAGCGGATATATATCATCTAATACCAGGACAAAGTATGTGAGTCAACATGATAATTAGATTAATCATGGACACTAGTACATATAGAGATCGTGCATCCTTATCTCTATAACCGACTTAGAGAAATAGAATCGGGAGAGATCAAGGGAAACTGAATGCAGTACAACTATATGTCTATCATTTAGAGTGTTTATAGAAGTGCCGCGCGACGGTTTTAGAGTGTTTATAATGAGTTCAATGGACCTTTTAAGTATATAATAGATTAGTTTATAGACTGGCTGTCCGGTAAAATATCTCTCCTACTTAAAAAGTTGAAGATGTTTCCATCGTCCGTCCGATATAAAATAAAGGGTGAAAAAAAATCAAATCTGATTATATGCGAGATGCTGGAAAGGGTGAAAAAAATCGAATCCGATTATATGCGATGCGGGAAAAAAAACAGTCCGTCGATAATCTGATTTGGTTAGCAATAGCGATGGAAAAAAAACAAAAAAACCACCCACGGATTCACATCCGAATCATCACAGATTCACCTCGTCGGGCAACCAATTCATCACAAGATTCAATCATAAGGAAGGTGAAAATCGAATCAAAAAGAGAAAAAAAAGTGCAAAAAGAAATCTCTTTCAAACATTCATCGCAAAAAGAAATTCACGAGGGGGATGGGGGAAGGCGTCGTCGCTGCTGCCGGTGGTGAGGGACAGCTCCGCCACCGCCGCTGCTAGTGGTGGGGGAGGGCGGCGCCACCACCACCGCCGGTTGTGGGGGAGGGCGCCGCCGCCGCCGCCGCCGCTGCTCGGGGGAATGTCGTCGCCACCGCCACCGTAGCTTTTTGAGAGAGAGGATGGGGGGAGAGGGGGAATGAATTTTAGGGTTAGGGTTAGTATTAATGTAGTTTGGGGTCAATCTGGACCGTCCATTCGATTGGACGGCCCCGGCTTCACCCGCGTCAGGCCGCCGGACTATTGGGCCGCACGTACCTAGCACAGAAGAAGGCCGCGGGTTTGGGTTGGGTTAAAATTAGTGTTCTCTCTCAGTAATTTTAAGCATCTTTCTACTTTTAGAAATAGCATTAGTACCATTTTAATTGTTTATGACTGCTTATTAATTTAATTCTAGCTAAATTGAACAAACTAAAAATTTGGCTAGATTTTTCTCATGATATGGATTTATTTTCCGACTAACGTTGATTATAAATTCGTATAAATTTCATTTATGTTCATGTTTCTTAATTATTTACGCCAACAGTGATGTAATTCAGGAATTATTTCTTTTTAGCTATGTAATTAATTGATACAACACAAATTAATTATTCATGTTCATCCACAGGTTTCTAGTATTACTCGTTCAGCGACACTATAAATTTGGTCGAGTAGAACTGATCAGATCAGACGTTGTATTTCAATTAATTACTATTTAATATGTTTTAATTCAATTTTCTTGTTTTTCTTCCCGTTGCAACGCACAGGCACTTTTGCTAGTAAAAAGAAAAATTCAAAACCTATTGTCAGTTCTGTTTGATGCCTAAAATACATACCAAATTTTGATAATGCTAAATTTTAGCATTACAAATTTTCGATGAGGTGAAGGTGTGTGGCGGTTTGTTTGGTATAAAACTTTATCAAAAAAGTTATTGTACCAAATTCTTGAGTATATAATTTGGTAAGGCCAGAAATTAAAAAAAATCAAACCAGACAAGCTTCTAAAATTTTCAGATTTTAATTTTGGTTTTTTTTAGAATCTTTCGTTACAGCTTTTTTGATTTTTGAGAAGTACAAATTATTTTGAGTTCCTTCTCAGGCTTCTCATTTTATTTGAATTTAAAATCTAAATTCCGAATAGGTTGATGGACATGGTGGTGCATGCAAATTTCTCTGTATTTTCTTCTCAATCAAAAGTAAACTTTTATCTGCTTCAGTGACCTAGTAGTAAATTGTCATCAAATAAGTGCCTCAAAGACAAATATCGATATTACCGGTGTAAACAAACAAATACAACATTAGGCGCAGTGGCGGAGCCAGGATTTCAAAGTTGGGTATTCCCGTCTAAGCGCTGAGCCGTTGGCCGCTTCTGCCCCTCGCGGCCGCCGGCCACCCAACCGGCCTGACTGTCTGAGCTTGGCGGAGTGGCGGGCGCCGCCCGCCACGGCAATAGCCTCTCCCTCCGCGGTAGCATGGTCCAGCTCTCGCCGCCAGTGGCCGCCTTGCCGCGTTGCCGCCTAGGGTTTGGAAATGGGGAGCGGCGTGAGGGAGCCGAGCCAGGGAGGGATGGGTCATGGAGGGAGAGCGAGAGGAGGCCGTCTGGAAGAGTGGTGGCTAAGTGGATCAATTGATATCTGATGGGTCATGACGGAGTAGGTCGGGTTAGTAGGAGGCGTTGCAAGAGGCCGGTTGGGCTGTGTTTGGATCGAAGAATTGAGGATTTAGGTGCACTAATATGTGTACATGTGTATAGGGCTATGTTTGGATCGAATAATTGAGGATTTAGATGCACTAATATGTGTACATGTGTATATACTATAAGTATACTTGTTTTTCGATCAAAAAAGTTGGGTATTCCCGGGAATATCCGGGAATCATGGTAGCTCCGCCCATGATTAGGCGTTCTCCTATGGACAATCCAGTCCACATATGTGGACATCCGATCCATATACGGGTAGTACCTGGTTTTATGCACATCTAGACCAAGCTCAACTGCATGCGTATGTCCAATTGACATTTTGCACGTTTGATTCGATTCTGCCAGCAACTCGACTTTTAGGCAAACACAGAATGCGATGCTGCATTCCGCTACGAAATATCTAGCGTTCATCTCCTAAAAAGATATCTTCAAATTTTTGTGTTGAGTAAGAGATAGCACCAAGAGAAAGTGCTGCATTTCTGTTCGATCTTATTTCTGCACCAGACTGAAAGTCATATTTCGCTGTGTGGGCGTGTATGTGTTCTAGGTCGATCGGTGCATTTATGCAGAGGCCAGGAGTATTATTAGTAGGGTTCTATCAACTTTGATGTTATTGTCTGAGATTAATAAAAGCTTTATTTATCTTAAAAGAAAAGCTTTATTTATCTTAAAAGAAAGGACTAAAAGTCATGTTTCACAATTACCAGACGCCTGGCGAAATTACTATGTGTTCTCTTATACGCATGTAGGACTAAATTGACGGTTATTTACCCTTTCTTTTTCAAGCTAAATTGGGCTCATTCGTTTTGGAGGAAAAAAATGAAGGGAAAACATAGGAACAACTATTTATCCATTTGTTTTGTAGGATTTGAGCAAAGGAAAAGAATATGAAATTTTCCTTTGGTTATTATTCATAAGAAGTTCCATAGGAAAATTATCATCCACTTGGAACTCTTTTTTCTATTCATATGCGTAGGATCGAGGCAAAACATTGGATATTGATACGAATATAGGTGCAAAACAGAGGATTGAAAAACACAAGAAAAACATAGGAACGATCGTTGTTGAACCACAGGAAAAGACATGAATCAGATGAGAGAGAGACTCAGAGGAATTTTTCCAAGAGGTTGAACCTCTTGCTAAATTTTCTCCAAAACATACATACAATGAGCCATTCCATAGGAATTGTATAAGATTTGGAAAACTCCAATCCTTTGAATCAAAGGGTCAAATAGGAAAATTTCTTATAGGATTTCAATCCTATGAAATTCCTCAAAGGAGCCCTAATTGTTCTATGTATTTAGCCTCAAGTTGCATAGATAAATCATTCCAGCATTGATCATGTTAACTTAATACTAAGCATTACTATATTTTTCCTACCAACCATCCAAAAGATCAATCCTACATTTTCCCAATCTTTTTTTTGCAATTCCTATGCAATTCCTATGTTTTTCCTATTTCTATGATTTGGAAATCCTGTAAACCGAACGAGCCCAGGAAGCAGCCAAAATGCCAAGAGCCTGGATTTTTCTTCTTCTTTTTTTGTAAAAAAAAAAGAGGCTTGGATGCTGTCTTATGTTTTTTTTTTGTTAAAACACACAGTAAAATCATGAAATAGTTCAAGTTTTTTTTATATATAGAGTTTTGGTGTGGTTTTAATCTTCAAGCTCCCCCATTGGGCTTTCCATGGATGGATGTAATTAACAATTTTTACCTTCGTAGTTTACCTAAAATAACACATGGCCATGTCATTGGAAGTAGACCAATTAAAATATGAAATAGTTTCTAAACTCATAAGCTTTGACATTCTAAATTTCTGACCATTAGTTTTTAAGCAGTACATGAGAGAATTAAAATGTAGAATGTTTGCATAGTATTTTTTTTGGGTTGCAAATCTAAAAATGGAGCTTTCATGTTACATAAATAATTTAGAAACTACCAATAGTCAAAACTCACTAAGGCAAAGTTAAAGCTGATAAATATTTGCGAATGGAAAGGCATCTTGTTGTATGCGGGCCCCTAATTTCTCAATCACCATATTTGAGACATCACCAGATTCTGATGCAACTTCGGCTTCAGGGAATATGAACCTGAAAAAATTAGGCCACAAAAGAGACTCCATTGTTTAATTACTTGGAGACTATCCACATTGTGCCTCCTAATGTTGAATTCTAACTCAAATTGTAAGGTATATTACCTACATTTTTCGAAACATGACAAATTATGAGGTCTTACATTTCGCATTGAGATTACAACTTCAATATCATATTTTATTAATTTACCTCTGTAAATTAATAAGGTTAATCATGATTGTAGGGACATGCAAACTAGAGAGTTCGATAACTCGCCCTTAACAACTATCAAGTAAAACAAAACTAACTTGCAGCAAGACTCTGGAGAAGCGCGTGTTTGTGTTCTTCCATTCGTTTTTGTTTTTGTTCTTTTTAGAGTGTTCAGATGGAGCACACGAAGCATACCTGTCTTTCCTTACGTCCTGCTGAAAGAATGATATCACACACGCACTCTGTAAGTTCATCAATGATTACAGGTGTGATACCAGGATGAATCTCCTTCCCATCAGGACCAATTTCATTATCACTTGCAGCTTCACCTGCTTGCTCAGCTTCATATGCCTCTTTGGCCCGCTTCACCAAACATAACAATACTCGAGCCGTCTTAAGCCTAAGTTCACGGGCCCTGAATATTTCATTATAGACTATCAACCAAGACACCTTCAAGATCTTATCTTTATATTTAGGTGCATCATCTCTAAACCACTCCAGTTGTAGTCTTGTAAACAGCTGGAAGAAGCACACTGGCATTAGCTGAATGAGAAATTTCCATCATATGTGGACGCATTCACAAAACTATTATGGCTTACCCATTCTTCAGGTTCATTTTTTTCTCCAGGGCAGCATATCACCTTGAACGCTGCCGCAACTTTCATTAAATCCCAACTCTGTGTGTCAATGCGAGATATTTTCTTAATGTGCTCAGCAGCACTGCGCAGGGGGTCATTATGTTGGTTCACACAACGATCACACTCGAACATGACACCTGCCTTCTCAATAATAAGTTTAATAACCTGGATACAAGGAGCATTGTTATGTCAATAATGCAGAAACCACAATAATACAGAAAAAAAACACGCGTATGCAAAATTCTGGAAACAATTCATATATTGCATGAAAATACTTTGGTCAGTGAAAAATCAGAAAACACTTCAATGTCAGACATACAAAGGGGGTAATGGGCTCACCAACATATCTGGATGGACTCCAAACTTATGACGATTCAGGAGAAATGTCATTCCTACACTCATCGGAAAGCGATCCTCTTTAATCAGCTCTGAATTTCTCCAGGCACTAAACACCGCATCTGAATCTTCAAGCCCCACATTAACTCATCCACATGAGGACCACTCATGCAGGGTATATGCTGAAATAATCCACAGAAAAGCTGGTGCTCAAAATTATTCATAGACGTGAAAAACAAAGGAGCTTTAATACTAACCAAGCGCTTTTCAATGATATCTCTATAATTATCATTTCCTACAGGTAGTTTCTGCAGAGCCAACTTGTCCTCAAAAGTTTTAAACTCTTTCAGCGCAACAGCCTATTAAACAAATGAACGACGACAAACATATGTTAAGGGGAGGAAACACTATTAGTGCAAATATATTCCACACCTCAGCATGATAAATGCTTGTTCAAGTCCTCAATTATTGCAGTGTAAATCATAACGAGAATAAGTCCATGTGTTAAACTAATGCAATGTATTTTGAAAAAAAGGATATATTGGCGTTCTTTGTTAGTAATACCATCATCTTGCCAGGTCTCAAATCATCCCTAACTAGCAAGTCAAACAATTGGCACACATGCAATGGGTATCACCAACCTATGCCCATCTATTTTTCGGATATTTCTTCACACCCATAATGACCATAACAAAATCATGCTACATGCTTCCCAATCTGCTTTTATGGAAAACAAAAGAAGGGCTGTGGAATTTGTTAAATTAGTAAACAGCTAATGAACAAATGAGCTGATGCTCATATTTGTTCATTCAATGCAAAGAATAAATCAAAGTGGTAAACATGAAACATGCAAGATCGCTGCTCAGGTGGTTAAATTGAACAGTACAAGCATCGTAGTGAAAAAATTAGAAGCAGGGGAGAAAGGGGTACTAACTCTTTTTGCCACATATTCGCTGACGAAGTCTGCCCAGATATCCTGCATGGCACAAAGAATTTAGAAAAAAATAGGTAGATGACACAAAGACTGCCAATAGAGAGCAAATTAACAGACAGGCACATGAGTAAATAAATCAAATCAAACTTTGCATGGCATCTTAAACATAATCAAACTGGAAGGAAATAATCAAAGAAACAATGCAAGTACCTGCATGGCATTTGGTTTAAGGAGCTTGATCCCATCATAAGCGAATATTGCAAAGCCAGAGGGCGTCTCAAATAGAACGTTGATACACCCACCATGCCCCAACTAGGCAGCTGGTTGTTGGTAAAACAGATACTCCAGAATTCAAGCAAATTCAGGCAAATCAAGCAGAATTACAAGGAAGAAAAACGTAACTTGACTAATCGACTAGAGATCGATATATCAATCAAAATGCTGAACTCAACTAGTTAGTGGCTGGCCAAAGGCTCTCTAGCTAGCCCTCGCCAGCTGATCCGCCAACAAATCCTAATCCCTGGGGTGGATTGGGAAACGAAAAATATCAATTTGACAACACTAACTCATTGACAAGCTTGATCTCACTTGCCTGGGTGCTGCGGCTGCTGCGAACGCAGGTGACAACAGCTTGCCACCCATCTGCATCCAAGCTCATCTCCCTCCTCGCCATCTGCTCCAAGACGAAGCACGCCTCCTCCACCTTGCCGTCCTCGCCGAGCCCTCTCACAAGGTGCGAGGTTGAGGACAGTGTCCGCTCGCCAACATCGCGTTGAAAACCCGTAGACCCAGCTCGAAGTCGCGAGCCCTGCAGCACCCGTCGACGAGGACGCGGTACGTTGGCGGCGCCCGGCACGGTGCCCTTGAGCTGCATGTCAAGCAGCGCCCTGTGCGCCTCGTCGACCCTGCCGACGTCGCACGGGCACTTGATCAGGACGTTGTAGCTCGCGTCGTCGGGCTTGAGCTTCCGCTTGCGCATGGCGGAGAGGAGCTCCCTGACGCCGTTGACGTCGCCGCGCCTCGCGCGGGAGCTCGTCAGCACGCCGTAGTTCACCACCTCGGCCTGGTAGCCACGGTACTCCATGTCAAACATCAGCTTCTCGGCGTCGGCGTGGAGGTCGGCGTCGCAGAGCCCCTGCATCAGCAGGGAGTAGGTGGCCGCATTTGGCGCCACGCCCCGGCGCACCATCTCGTCGATGAGCCGCTCCGCCGCGCCCAGCTCACCCTCACGGACGCCGAGCTTCGGGGCGAGCTGGAGCATGTCCCTGGCGGCATCCGCGCGGCCATTGGAGACAAGGGCGTTGAGGAGCGAATGGAATGTGGCGGCGGAGTGGGAGCAGAAGGCCGGGACGGCGCGGAAGACGAGGACCGCGGCGTCGGGGCGGGAGGCGGCGGCGAGCACGGAGGGACGGAGCGGCGCGCCGCGGGAGTGCAGCGTGGCGAGGAGCGGGGGCACGAGCGGGAAGAGGCGCGCGCGGGCGAGGCGGTAGAGCACGCAGGCGGCGAAGGGGTGGTCGTGGAGGCGCGTCGGCGCGGAGAGGAGCGCGGCCGCAGCGGCGACGGGGGACGGGAGCGACTTGAGGTGGAGGAGGAATGGGCGCGGCGGCAGCGGAGGGCTCGGTAGGGCGAGGTGTGGAGCTCCTGTACCTTGCTCCTCCCGCCTACCCCCCCCCCCCCCCTCCTCCCAAGTCCCGAGTCCAGGACGCCGCACCGGCGATAGAGACGACGGCGCCGCGCGTCGATAGCGAATGCCGCGTGCGAGAGGATCAGAGGAGCGAACGAGGCCAACTAATTAGGCCCATTGGGCTTGTTTTTTTGTGTAAATGGTTCCCCAATTTTCCATTGGAATAAGTTCATCTGAGGTCTCTTAACTTGTCAACAAATCCGATTTTCATCCTCCAAATGCAAAACCAAATAGTCCCTTAACTGTCAAAACCGGTGCAATATAGGTCCCAAGGCGGTTTGGGTGGCGGTTTTTGCTGATGTGGCGCCTACGTGGTTAATTTGACTCGGCCTTCATCTGACGTGCCATTGACGTGGCGCTTACGTGGCAATTTGATTTAGAAAATAATAAAAAACATGGGCCCACGTGTCAGATAAAAAAAATAATTAAAAAATGGTGGAGGCCCCACATGTCATTCTCATCCCACCTTTCATCCTCTTCTCTCCCCATCTCCCCTATCCTCTCTCTTCTCCTCTGTCCAGGCCGTGCCGAGCCCGCCCAAGACCAGACCCGGGGAGGCACAGGCGGTGGCGAGGGCGCCGGCGGCAGTGGAGGCGGGGGCGGGCTCGACGGGCGTTCGGCGAACGACTTCCTCCCGCCGCCGACCTCCAATCTAACGACTTCCTCCTGCCGCCGACCTCCAATCTATCCGGCCTCACCGCCAGCTTCTTCGCCGCTAAGGGGCTCGGCGTCGGCGACCTCGTCGTGCTCTCCGGCGCGCACTCCATCGGCAGGTTACACTGCGCCTCCTTCTCCGACCGCCTCAACTCGTCGGGTTCCGACATCAACCCAGTGCTTGCCGCCTCCCTGACGCAGCAATGCAGCGCGAACGCGAGCAGCGCCGCCGCCGGCGACCCCACCATGACACGGGACGCCGTGACGCCCGACATGCTCAACAGCGCACAACCATCTATCAATTAAACCGATGTGCACTCGTCAAAGAAAATATAAGCACAACCATATGCACATGCCCACACTGAATCATCCAGTTAATTGGGAAGCACAAATTAGCAAACGGTGCCGTGTAAATGAAGTACACATTGATCATAGCTTCAATGGCCAAGAGATTTCTACTAGAAAAAGGTGTTCTGGAGCTCCCTCCAAATGTACCGAACCACGTCGCCATCGGATCTGGAGCAGGGATCCTTGACAAAGAACATCGTCCGGCCGTCCAGCGAGGGCGCGTCGCCGTCGTAGTCTTCCTCCGGCTGTGCCATCCGGAACACCTTGAACGCCGACGTGAACTCTCCAGGATGAAGACGCTGAGCCCCTTGGCGGCGAAGCTGGCGGTGAGGCCGGAGAGGTTGGAGGTCGGCGGCGGGAGGAAGTCGGGCGCCGAGCGCCCGTCGAGCTCACCCTCGCCTCCACTGCCGCCGGCGCCCTCGCCACCGCCCGTGCCTCCCCCGGGTCCGGTCTCGGGCGGGCTCGGCAGTCGGCACGGCCTGGAGAGAGGAGGAAGAAAGGTGGGATGAGAATGACATGTGGGGCCCAGGTAGGCTCCACCATTTTTTTAATTATTTTTTTATCTGACACGTGGGCCATGTTTTTTATTATTTTCTAAATCAAATTGTCACGTAAACGCCACGTCAATGCCACGTCAGATGAAGGCCGAGTTAAATTAACCACGTAGGCGCCACGTCAGCAAAAAAAAAAACCGCCACCTGTCATAATTGAAGTGAACTAGAAAGCCATAGATGATTTGCAATAATAGAGAAAGAGACGCAGATGTAATTCCATGGTAATACACATTTATTTTTGTAAGGTGTAACATGTAGCTATAATTTCTACTGCAAAGGCGTCCTATGGTCGGTGAGTTTATACATAATAATGTTGTACAAAAAGATAATGATCTGAAGTTCTCTAATTACAAAGGTAACAGAGAAGAAGACAAGAAATGCAATTACTGACACACTGATATCTTCTTTTGTAGGATACTCAGTGCCATTAAAGAAGAACCCAGTGCCATTTTTAGGACGAGGATGACCTGCAGCTGAACGCCATGACAGTAGTGGATCACCAAGAAAAGATAGCTCACTGAAAGTGGAGAGCTGACCACTGCTTGGAACCTCGCCCGTGAGAAGAGGATTGTATGACACGTTGAATTGACTCAGTTTAGAGAGCTTTTCAAGGCTCGACGGTAGTGAGCCAGAGAAATTATTGCATGACAAATCGAGGCTCTCAATGGAACCCAAATTGCCTATCTCGAACGGAATCTCACCCGAAATAGAATTGTTCGATGCATTCAAAGAAACCAGTTGAAGAGAGCCAATCTCTGATGGTAGGTGCCCAGAGAGGCGGTTGCCATCGAGAAGGAGCAAGCTGATGTTCTTCATGGCACCGATTGCAGAGGGTATCTGCCCAGACAGCAGATTACCTGACAACTGAACATACCCTAATGCTGTTCGTAATGGAGAAGATGCTGGAAGTATGTCATACCCCATCAACAGTCGGTTCCATATGGTGCGGCAGTTCTTGTGTGAGAACATCATCGATTGGACATAGTCAAACTCTGGGTAACTTGATGGGACCCAACGGTATACAGCAAGGCATTTGCTGGTGACAGATTTCATCAGTGAAGGGTTCTTCTGATTCTTGGCAAAGGTTGAGCTGGGGTTCCTCCCCATTCCTGCCATCTCTGGTGGGATCTGTCCAGATAGCCGGTTTCCGACAAGGTTGAGCCAAAGAAGGCTAGTGCAGTTTCCAATCTCCCTAGGGATTTCTCCTGAAAGTTGATTCCCAGCAAGCATCAACAAGAGAAGCAATGTCAAATTACCGATGCTTGGTGGAATCTCACCGGAGAGGCTATTGTATGACAAGTCCAATGCTTGGAGATTCACAAGCTGACCATATGATGGAGGGATTGTACCAGAGAAGTTATTCTCCGCGAGCATCAGGGCCTTGATGCTACCCATACTAGCGATCTCAGTAGGCAACTTGCCATTGAAGTTGTTAAAGCTGAGGTCAAGGAGGGCCAACTTTGGCAACTCTAGTATACCAGAGGAGACAATGCCTCCACTGTAATTATTCTCTTGTAGCACAAGATTTGTCAGGCTTGTCAATTTTCCAAGAACTTGTTGCACCTCCCCTCCAAAGTTGTTGTCACTGATGTCCAAATATTTCAAGCTGGTGCAGTTCATCAGCTCAAGTGGTATCTCACGATCGAAGTGGTTGCTCGTGAGAACGAGTTCCTCAAGCCCATGGATTGAGCCAATTCCTGGTGGTATAGATCCATTGAAGTGATTGTCCCATATCGACAGGTATGTCAAACCGGCGCAATTTGCGATTGAACTCGGGAAATTGCCATAGAAATGATTACTGGAGAGATCTAGTAACTGGAGCTTGCACCCCGTGGAAAAAATTCTTGAAGAGATGCTCCCAGCGAAGTTGTTCTTTCCAGCCTTGAACTGTCTAAGCCTTGCAATTCCATTCCAGACGTTGCCAGTGAAGCTGTTCCAGCTGAGATCAACATCCTGGAGCTTCAAGCAGTTGTTGAACAATCCACTTATACTTCCTGTCAGGTTATTGCTGGACAAGTTGATAGCACTTAGGTTGCGGCAGATTGCTGGGAAGTTTGCGCTAATGCCGCCTTCGAACCGATTTTGGGACACATCTAGTGTCTGCAGGTTGGCGAGGCTGGAGACGTCGAGAATACCACTGATGAGATTGTAAGATAAGTTTAGGTACTGGAGATGCAGGCAATTCTTGAGATCATCATGCAGCTCCCCAGTGATGCTGTTTGCTGAGAGGTCCAAGTGTGTGAGCCCACTGAGGCGTGACAGGTTTTGGAAGGCTGGACCAGATATATTTGAGTTTGAAAGATCGAGAAAATTAACCCTGCCAGAGGCATCACAACCAACACCTTGCCAATGGCATGGTGAGGTCCCTGACTCTGGCCAACTGTTATACCCACCATGGTTTATCGGGTTCTGAAACTGTAAAAAGTTCTTGAGCTCAAGAAGAACTTCCCTATCACTCTGTCCAAGAATTACCTCAGCTGTTGAAGAAACACAGCAACTAAACTCAGAAGATATCAAGAACAAGAAGAAGAAATAACTAGATAATCATGCTTGAAGTGTTTTAGAGTTGAGTGCAGGAACATACCAATGATAAGTGCATGGAAGAATGTTTTAAGGATCTGATGAAAAAGGGGCATGGCTCAAGGACGAGTGTAGCTAGTTTGCACTGGGAATAGGATTGCTATGGAATACCCATTTGCAAGCTTGTACAGCTTTTATCGACCAGAAGAATAGCACTATCGACGGCGTGTGTGTGTTGTATTAGTCAAGTGATTTAGTCCTTTTCATAATTTTGTTTCTTAGAGATCATGGAACCAGTCAACCCGTCTGTTGTAGAGTATCGCATTTTGCCATTATCACCCTTTTTTCCACATTCATTTAACATTAATCTTTCAGTTTGCACTACAGTAATTAGATCACTCTTATATCAAAGATAGAAATGGATCTCTCCAGATAACTATCCACTCCATTTTTCAAACAACTTTTTATCAAAACCTATAAAAGTTATTTCATATATCTAAATAATTGACGATGCACAAAAGTTTGCTTAATTTGTGTTCTTTTTTGTCAGATTTCCATCAGATCTATTAACTTATGGTAGAGCTCCATCCCCAAGTACGAGTGGTTTAAGTTTTTTTTTGCATAGTCTATCTCTAACATTATACTTTGATCATTAATTTATTTTATAATATCAGCAACTACAAAATTAGCATTATGTAAAAGTAGTTTCAAAATATAAATCTAATGATATTGTATGCATGATCCACAGCTAATGCCAAATATAGAGTAGTGGTTGGTCTAGAAAAAAAATTTATGGGGTAGTGTTTTTTGGACGAAAATAGTGATTTTTCTCCTGTAGTGAACGATCGAACAACAAATACGTGGTATATCCTCTATAAAAGTATTCCCTCCTATCAAATATTTGATAACATAAATATTTACTCAGAATTTTAAAACTTTAACATCAATAATCAAAAGCTTAATTTAAAAATAAACTAAATAAAAAAATGTTGTGTAAATTTGCCTTGATAACTATTATCATGGTATGATGAACTTGTTAGCAGATTTTAGAAACCCAATAGAGTACTTTAAACAACCGCTGTTTATGTAATCTTTTCACGTCATGTTTAGAGGACATAGATAACACATCCAACATATCGTTTGTTTTGTTTATTCCAAATAGATTAATTAATGATTTAATTCTAGAGACGAACTATAGAATATAGACAATGTAAATGGTATCAATGGTGTTAAGCTACCTGTCCATCTTGTCTCCTCTTTCTCTTTCCTCCACTTCAGAAAAAAAAATCTAATTCCTCCATACCAAAATAAGTTTATTTTTCATCCATTCCACATATACCAATATACTACCTCCGTCCCAAAATGTACTACCTCCGTCCCAAAATATAACAAATTTTGGCTATGAATCTGGACACACAGTTGCCCAGATTCATAGCTAAAAATGTTTATATTTTGAGACGGAGGGAGTAACAACAAAGGACTAGAATATACAATTGTTTCCTACTTTCTCTTTTCTAATGCAATTGTCTCTTACTTTTACAAACGCTGATATAATGATTATTTAAAAATAAACTTATCTATTATCTACTAAAAGTCCATTAAACTAACATACTACAAATGCTCTCGTAACGCCATATGGCATTCCTATAAACGCTCCTAAATTGCCACGTGGCGTTCTAATATATAAACACTCCTAAATTTTCACGTGGCGTTATAATATATTAGAAATATCTGGCCATCGATTTTCATTTAAATTGGTGGGTCCATTAATTTAGACCATTAGATTAAAAACAGAATTTAATCCCTCCCTCTCCTCTCCCTCGCGTGTAGGTGAACCACATACGTATACACACGTACCGTAGGTACCCAACTCCTCCTTTTTCTCCTCATTCACCTTCTTTTTTATTTCCATCATAAGATATTTATATTACCTCTGGTCTTTACACACTGGTGGAGAACCCATCTTCACTTCCGGTTTACAACCCCTTTAGTTCCGAGTTGCAAACCAGGACTATGAATCCGGGACTAAAGATCTATATTTAGTCCTGATTATCGGGACCAAGTTTTTTTTCATTTTTTTTTCTATTTTTCATATCTCGCACCCGATATCCCAACAACGAAATATCATCTCCCGATATCCCAAATCATCCACAACAACATAATCATCTCAAATCATCCATAACAACATAATCATTCTCAAATCACAGATCGAATGAACAAATTATCCTCAACAAACAATTATTCACAAATTAAGAGGGAAAAAAAGAAAAAAAAACATCCCTACGGCGACCACCACGGCTGCCCTCCGGGCCGGCCGCTGCCCTCCTCGCGTGACGGCCCTGCCGGTCACTGCCGCCTACCACCGCCCGCGACGTAGAGGGAGAAGGGAAGGGGAGGAGAAGGAGGGAGAGGGGAAGAGGAGTGGAGGAGAGAGGAGGACTGTGGATAGACACTATAAGCATCATATGTACGATTATATAATCTCATTATACTTAATTTATAGAGAGGTTGGTTTCAAGTACATAATTTCTAATATTTAATTATAAATTCATATAATCATGGAAACAATCATAAAAAAATCATATTGACAAAATAATAATGCCTTCGTAGTTATATTCATGTTCTTGCTAGGCTATGTAGAGCTTCGCATACTTGAAAAAAAATAATCCTATATGGGTTGTCTCCTACACTGTGCAATATAAATTGGATCTACAAGCCTGTGTATTTAACATAGTCTTGAGTCATCCTAATCCGTCTAACATATTTTAGAATTAGTTATTTATTAGAAAATATATTCATTTTTTTAGAATATGGTTGACAAATAAGGTGTAACGCTCTGTCACTATTTTGTCATCTCACAAAATATGAACTTAAAAATAAGATTGTATGAAATAAAATAAAAAATACAAAAGGGAGAAAAGTGAACTAATTATAGAAAAACTTAGAATATTCTTAGAGAAAAATAGGTTCTTAGCTTTCACTCAAACTAGAATACCTATTACCATAAACATTGCATAATTTTTGAGTGCTTAAGTATGTTGTAAGCATGCACGAACCAAATAAAGGGCGATAGCTTTGATTGTACAAATAAAACATGTCTATTAAATAATAATGGTTTTAAGATTTGTTAAAAAATAAAGCCCCTAATAAATCAATTATAAAAAAACCTTGATTTTAGTTTATACTTAATTTGTGAAACCTGTTTCGAAAACAAACTAAGCATTCATTCTTCTTTTAAATATGATTAAGCTTATAGTGATAAATTAAATTTATATAATATAGGTACAACAAATAATTTGGAAGAAAATTTAAGCAATACCGGTGAAGAATGTTTTTGGGAATCATATTTTTTAACACAGCACGAATAAATCTATTGATATTTTTCTCAAATAGTTTCTAATTCAACTTAAGATGTATGCACGCATATTCGCACGGGCTAACTTTCTAGTTTTAGGATAAAAGAAGGTAAAGATGACGGGGGGAGTACATGCTATCTTCTCTAAGACACTAACATCTCACCATTATCCATGTCCTAAATAAGGGATCCAATTAGTGTAATAGAAATAGGAATAATAGATCAAATATGAAATGCTAAGTAAAAAGAATGACAGTTAAAAAAAAGAAAAAAATGTGCTGCCCCAGTGGACCGGTTCAAGAACAGCGGTGATGCTCCTACACTAACTGACAGTGTGTGGACTTGGAGAACGATGACGCTGAGGGTCATAGACGGTCGCTGGCTGGCAGTGCGACTTGTTAAAGGAGCTTGATGACATTGGGCCCAGCTCTCTTTCAGTGGCCGGGTCATAGGGATTTGGATCAGGTGCAGTTGGTACTATGAGTGCAACTTGAATGTGAGAGAAATGGACAATGCCAGCTTGCATAACTCACTTTCAAGAAAAATTCTTTCCCAGCCTCTTAAATTTTACCCAATCTTTTTTATTCCTCCGAGTTTTCTCCACTTCTTTTATGTCCCTGAATTTTAGTTTTGATCACATTATGTTATTTAATTGTTTTGTATGAAAAGAACCAATTTGCGTAAAAGAAACATATAAATTTATAGACTACATCATAAGTTTGTTACATAAGACTATAAGACTATTAGATTCATGATTTTATTTTATGAGGTATTATTTATGGCAAAGTTTATTTTTATAAGGAATTCCTTTTTATAATGACAGAAAAATTTTAATATTTTATTTTTTAAAATAATATATATAGCATATTTTTATGGTAATTCAACAGATTTATCCCATATTGTATGTATTATATAAAAAGTAAGCTATCCAAAACTATGTTTACCCTTTTAAATTAAAATAATATTATACTAACTTTTTAATATATATTAAAATTGGACACACCTATACAGTGCAATCGCTGGCTTGGTTAAACCAACTAGCACTTCATCCAACATGACGAGGAACAAAGGTACCGGTTTTGGAACCAGAACCTTTGAGGGTCCATGAATAAAAAAAGAGAGAAAAAGTTGGCTCGATGCATCGATCATCGAGCAGCTCTTGATCACCCCTAAGATCATCATCATCATCCTCATCATAGAATCAACATCTGACGCCGTCCCCAAAGTGAGTCCACACAGAAAGAAGATCAACATCAACAAAATCACACATAGAGGAGAACACACAGTGGAGGCCACCGTCGTCGCCGCTGTTGTCGTCGTCGAGCGGTCAGCCCCTATGGTCATGGTGGTGGATCCGGTCGCCCATGAGCGCACGATGGCAGATCCGGGCACCCCCGAGCACCTATTGGGGAGGGGCGGAGAGGAGGAGGGGCAGCCGGCTAGACATGCGTCGGCGCTGAGCCCGACACGGCCTAGCACCGCTCGAGCGACAACACAGCGTCGGACCAGTCCTGCTCGTAGGCGGGGAGTACAAGGCCGCATCAGCGAAGGAGGAAGAGGCGGACGGCGCGAGGCTGTCATTGGGCGCGGCAGGAGGGGAGGAGGTGGAGGAGGTTAGTGGTGGGGTTGGGACAGCGCGGGTGGTGGGCAAGAGAGAGGTGTGAGAGAGCGATGAGAGGGAGTTGGAGAGGATAAGGGAGAGATGGAGCTAAGAGAGCTAGAGATAAGAAAAAGGATGAGACTCAGGGAGCGTTTGGTTCCCTTGCCTAGCTAGCCTTGCTAGGCAAAGGCAAACCAACTCATTGCCTGCTTGCTGGGTTTGCCGTACCCGTCCGTTTGGTTCATTTGCTATCTGTGGCTTGGAATGGTAGCAGGCTAGCTAGCAGCTCGTATCGTATGCATTCATCCATAACTGGAAAGATGGAGTGATTTAACAAGAAGATGGCAGCGAAATAGATACACGATCTGCTCGCCCTATAGTTCGGCAAGAATGGAGCCTGGTTGTTGAAGAAAGTCGCACGCGAGAAGTTTGCCGTCGGAGGCGAGCTGATTTGGCTCTCCCTCGTGAGCCAGTTTTTTCTCGCCCTTGCAGGCTAGTTCGCCCTCAAAAGTTAGGATTTTCTTCACGATTCCAAACGCCTGGTCTTGCCTGCTAGGCTAGGCTTGATCTAGCCTTGGATCCAAACGCACCCTCAATGGCTCGGCTTGGCTCCTCATATGTGTTGTTTTTTTAAAAAAAAACCAGCACATATAACCCTATTATAAGTGCCGGTTTATTAAAAAGACCGGCACTAGTAATATTGGTGCAGGTTTGTTTGTAAACCGACACTTACGAGGGATCAAAGGTATCGTTTTTAACTTTAGACATGTCCGAGGGGTAGGAAGGTGTGGCCCCCCGGTTTTTAACACTGGAAACCCCATGTGTCTTACAATATCACTCCTTGTATCAGTAGGTGGTACACACATGGCATAGTCGAATATCACAAGCTGACATTGTTATACATGTATTATACTACATTAATACTACAAGGGTAGCCCAAATGGAACCCAAATAGACCAAGCATGGTCATGTACATTATAGACTACCAAAAGAAATTTACAAGATAGTAGGAGCGAAGCAACGGCGGTCTATCTAATTCCACAGGCATCGACTGATGAACCTAGGACCCTATTCCATCGTCTTCGACATCTTCTCAACAGCATAGCACACATGTGGTCGACTCCGACTCCTTTCTAAAACATTTAAATTAAGCAAGGGTGAGTACAAACATACTCAGCAAGCCACCACTATAGAATGCATGTAGTGCACACAAGGCTTTAAGGATGGCTTGGTTATTTGCATGAAGCTAGTTTTCACAATTCATTTCATAGGCCACATGGAGTGATCTCACATCCATAATCATATAACACAAGTATGGAGTGTACAATCGTCTATAATGGCAATGCTAAGCAATGTCAATAATTGACTACATATAAATAAATAGACTCGGGCAACAATGGATGAATGTATAAGCATAAGGATAACAATATCAAGGAGGGGTCATTCAAGTCAAGTGTAGGTATGCAGTTTACAAATAGCATGCAGTTTTATTTGCAATTAACATATTTATAAATATAGGTTCAATATGTTCAAGGAGGGAAGAGTAGTGACTTGCCTTGCTTTTAAAATCCTATATCTTCGAGAAATATAGGTTCTGCCCGAAGGTTAGATGAAGGACGTTATACAGACTTCTAAACAGGAATTAACGAGGAATTAATCTCTCGAGTTTAGCCAAGGAAATATAGGAACGTAGCATAGACTTTTGTAAGGAATCGAGGGTTGGTTTGGTTTATGGTCTAAATAGACCTTACCAAATTTTGTCAATGCCAAATTTTGATAAATTTTGGCATGACTAATTTTGGTAAGGCAAAGTTGTGTTTAGATTGAAGCCAAAATAACCTAAGTTCACTATTGAAATGGCCTATTTTCTTAGTCAAAATTTAGTTTTAAACCAAATAGACACTAAACACTATTAAAATTACTAAATATTGGTAAGGCTAATTTAGGCCTCAAACTAAACCAGCCCTCATCTCTTGGGCTTGGACAGGGAAGTAGAGTGAGTCGAAAACTCGAAATAGACTTTTGGAGGGGGAGAGAGTTCTGTGAGGAAGTCTCTAGAGTGTGGGTCCCACTAGTGGGCCCCACTTATTTTCTTTCTCTTTCTCTTTTCTTCTCTCTCGGTCTCGCCTCCTTCTGCTCTCTCTCGCTTTCTCCTCCTCACGCGCAAGAGAGGGAGGGCGAAAGGCGCTGGCGGCGACCGAGCGCGGCGGTGGGGATGGAGGGGAGGCCGGCGGTGGGGGAATGGAGAGGAGGCTGGCGGTCTGGAAGGGGAGGAGCTCGGTGGCGGCGGGGATGGAGGGGAGAGGTCGTCGCGGGCGGTCGCGCGCGAGGCGGCCGGTCCGCGACGGTGGCGTAGCGGCGCTGTGTCGGGCAGAGGAGGGAGGCGGCGCGAAGGAGAGGTGGAGGGAGGTCGCCGCGGGGACGGTGGCGCGGCTCAGGCGGAGGGGGGCGGCGCGGCGCGGTGGCTAGGCCGCGCGCGCACGGGAGGGAGGCGACGTCGAGGGGAGGAGAGGAGGAAGGGAGTGGCGGGTCTGGGAAGGAGGAGGTCAGGGCGTCGGCCAGCGATGCCGCGCGCACGTACGGCGTGGGTGACGCGCGCAAGGCGGCGACGGCGCGGCCGGGCTCGACGCTGCCACGGGCGTCGATGCTCGGCTCGGTTCGTCCTCGCGTGCCGAGTGCTCGACCGAGGTCCTCAGAGGTTCGTTTTCAATATATTTTAGTTTGGTTACGTCCACGGTTCGAGTTCGAATGCTAGTTTCTGTTACGTTCAATCGTTCATGTGTTCAGATGTTCAAAGGTTCGATCGTTCTCACGTTCGTTCGTTTGATCGTGCAAGGGAGTTCGCGGAACGGCGCGGCGGCCAACTCCAACCTGCCTCTTGCCCAACCGAGGCTCGGCTCGTGGCCAGCCGCGGCGGAGCAAGCGGCGAATGCGCTGGATAGAGGAGTGCAGAGCATGGAGGTGGAGGGGAAGGAAAAAATGGAGAGTAGGGAGAGGAGGGGAAGGAAGGAATGGATTTTTTGCGCCGATCCGTGAATTTATTTATAGGTTAAATAGATGATAACTAATGAATTTTTGCGTCGTGGTCCAGTTTGCCGCATCTAGAGATACAAGTGGATGAATCTATAAGTCAAATTAATAGGTAATCCGCGAGTCAAACCTGTAGGTTCCCCACTCATTTTGCCTATAAGCGGTTTGCGGACAAGACCGCTTGCAACCTTAAATTGTGGTGGCCGGAATGTAGGAGGCAGCTATGCATGGCTCCCTGGACTTGGCGTTGTTTCTCGGTGTGGACTATCCCTCATTGTTGCTTGTGGTTTGGGGATGTTTTTGGTGGGCTGGGAGCATGGGTGCATGGGTGGTTGCTGGGGAGGGGACCCTACTGAGTTGAAGGCTGGCGAATCTTGGTTCAAATAAGTGTTGTGGCGAGGATGGATTTTAATCTCTCATGTGGACATTCACATATTTCTTATATGCCACCTAAATGATTATAAAAAAATCAAAAAAAAAATTACAAGATAGGTTAATATGTAATATATCACTTCACAAACATGCAAACATGCAAGTTCAAATTCGACTTCTATAAGTTGTAACAAAAACAACAAATTAAACTCTAACGAGTATACGTATATTCACAGTCAAATTTGTTATTTTTGTTATAATTTGTAGAAGTCGAATTTGAACTTGCGTGTTTGTGAAGTGATATATTACATATTAACCTATCATGTCAATTTTTTTGAAAATTTTTCATAACTATTTAGATGACATGCAAGAAACGGGTTGACATTCACCCGAGTGTTTAAAACAGTTTCCCGTGTTGTGGCTTGTAGGCAATTCATCGAACACACTCTATGCTTGCATGCTGGCTGTGGCCTGTGGCAAAGCAGAGGGAGGGAATGTGGACTTCAGGCCGAGAGAGGGCTGCTAGGTCGGCTGTAGTTTTGAGAATATGGAGGGGAAACAGACTTGCTGTGGGGGATGAGTTGGGCTGGCAGGGAAGGGAAGTCCCACTTGAATGGAAACATATCTTGTAATTTGCTAGAGTTTGTAATTTGGAATCTGCACTGTATAAGTTGGACATTTAATTTGGCGATTTTGCTAGATATTTGTCATCAAATTTCTCCCCCTAATATTTGTCAGATGTAATTACAGTACAATCGTAGTGTAATTATACTGTAACTTGCATGTAATTACACTGTAACTATAATGTAACTTGTACGTAACTTTCAAGAATCTCTCGGTAACATGTTATTTCAGTAAAATAGAGGTCGTGGGAACAAATTCTTTCATATATGTGTGTGATGTGATTTTTTTCTTCCTCCATAGAACAAATCTTGTAATAGATCTAACGATTCAAAATTACGTGAAACTTACATACAAGTTACACTGTAGTTACATGCAAGTTACAGTGTAATTACATACAAGTTACATTGTAATTACACTACGATTGTACTATAATTACATCTGTCAAATTTTTAGTAGAAAATTTGTCGACAAATGTATAGGTGGTCCCTTAATTTGGCTCTGTCCAATTGGACTGTTAACTTGGACATTTGAATTCGTTGCAATAGACCCGTCGGTTGTAGACCCTAGCTACGTATATTTGGACATTTGAATTCGTCCCTAGCTAAGTATATTATTTGTTCCTTGCAATAGACCCGTCGGTTGTAGTTTTAGGTCTCAAGCATCTAGGCCTCCGTCGTTGATTTTGGTAATTAATGACAAGCACTAGTTATGGACTAACTATTCTCTTGAGTTATACATTTTGAGATAGACCACATGATGTGTATGCCATGGATGATTACCGAGGATTAAAATCGATGGCACAAAGCAAAAGGAATGAAGACGGTAAAACTAGCGGTTTTATTTTAAATTGATCGAGGAGTTTGGGCAATCAAATTTGCTAAATTATTTATAGCTTTGCCGTACTATCAAGAGGGGTAATGACCTAAACAAAGAGATGATCAAAATGCCACATTAGGTCATATGCATGGAAACTTGGTTCGATTGTTTTTCTCTTGGATTCTCTATCTGACCAGGGCCGAGCTCGGTCTGACAGGGCGCCTTTGAGCCAGATGGTTGGCCTCTTGGCTAACAATACAGAGCCACTAGAGCCGCGGCCGGTCTGACCGAGCCCCTGGCGGTCTGGCCAGCCGGCTTATGGCGGTTAGATTGGCAGCCTAGTGTCAGTACATTTAATTCACTGTAACGGCTATAAAACTTGTCGTTACAATTGTCAGGGTTATGGATAAGGTATACCCTCTATCCTTGGATGTACGTTGTATACCGATACGGTATACCTGCGCGTATACGGATGTTTTCTATATACGTTAAGGAAATCTATCACGTGATAGAAACAGAATCCACAGATGGGAGGAGTCCTACTTGGACAAGACTGGGTCGTTACTATATCGTGAGGGGTCCGGTACTTCCGAGTCCTACTTGTAGATCGGCTAACCCGCGATATAAAAGGGACCCCCGGGAGGACCTAAGGCATCGAATCTTACCGCCAACACATCCACCACAGCCTACGAAGTCGGAGCCTATAGGAGCCAAGTCGCCAGGTGATCTAGTCGAACCAACTCGACTACGATCTCGTCGGTATCATCGAGTTCCGTTATTCCCTTTGTAATCTGTGACTTCCATCATATAATCCCATACCAACTGGATTAGGGCTATTACCTATTAAGGGGCCTGAACCAGTATAATCCTTGTCTTCTATTTGCTTGATGTCGTATTACTAGATCCTCGTACCAGCGTACCCCAATATCCTTTATATCCGGTCTACGGGTATCCCCCGTCGACAACAATGTAGACCAGTCTGAGCGACAGGCAACAAAGTTAGGGATTTCGACCCCAATGGCTACTTTTTGAGGGTTGGGGTATAAATACTCCCCAACCAGCAGCAAGGGGGCTCTCTTGACACTTGCTTCATTTGCATACACCCCTTGGAACTACTCTCACACTCTCTAGTGCTTGTGTTCATCCATTTGGTGTGTTTGATCAAGAGCCAAGAGTCAAGTGCATTGCTTCTTTGTTGAGCTAGTGTGGCACTTGATCATCTTCGAGCCAGGTCATCGCTTGTTGCTCTTAGAGATTTCCGCCTCCTAGACGGCCTGTGGAGGTGTTGTCCGGTGACCTCTCCAAGGAGATTGTGGAGAAGGCCCGGTACTGGTTTGTGAGTGGTTTGGAGTTCACCACCTTCGGAGCGAAGGAAGAACTACCCCTAGTGATCGAGGCTTGGGTAGTCCACTTCGTGGGCCGGCTCCCACCTTGGCCACCCCTTGACGAAGGGGGCTTCGGTGGCTTCGTGGTTTTGAGCGGTGAAGTTGGGCTCGCCTCAACGGGGATTAGAAAACCGACGAGTTTCCGAACCTCGGGTGAAAAATTTCGTGTCTCTTATCTTATTTACTTATTGCATTTACATTTGGGTAATTTACTTTCATAGAGACATATTTGAACCCATATCACCCTACGATTGTAAAACATAACTTAGTTGCTTAGTTAAGTTTATCCATCACCAAGCCTAGTAATTTAGGTTAGTTTTGTTTAGGTGTAATTTAATTTTAATCGTCTATTCACCCCCCCCCTCCCCCACCCTCTAGTTGGCATCTCGATCATACAAGGTCATTGTTGTTGACATTGGGTTAGTGTGGGTATGGTTATTGTCCATACCTCTCGTTGTCTTGACAATGTGTTCAAAGGTTTACCTGCACATCATTTGAGCCTCAGGCCTTGGAGGGCACTCCTCTGCTTCTGGATGTATCATGAAGTGGATATTGCAAGGGCCGGTAGTGGAAAAGCTTTGTCATGTTGGAATGAGCCTCCGCCCTCCTGTGTGGTAGCTCAGGTTTAACGTGTCATGTGGGTACGGTTGTGCACACTCTGCAGAGTTAAAATCTATTCGGATAACCGTGCCCACGGTCATGGACAACTCAGTGAAACCTCCTCCATATTGTCTTTTAGTTTTACAATATTTAAGGCAAAAACCCGGCAGAAACTGTCGGTTGGCATTCTGGTTATAGCTGAGAATTGGCAGGCCTTGGCAGGGAGCTGGGAGGGCTTGGAACACACGGGAATGAGGTCTAAAGGTTTACTTTATGTTGCTGCAATCTTTTATGAAATTTTCGTTGCAAAAGTTTACTTTGTTTTTGCTATATATGCTATGTTTTATGCAAATTGCAGAACCTGAACCATTCCTTGTTATCCTTGCATTATTATGGATTACCATTGGATACACTAAAAGTCTTGCGGAGTACGTATTGTACTCACACACGCTTGTGTGACCTCTTTTTTTTTAGAGATGATTGAGGAGGTTTTGAAGATGACAATGACGGTGCTTACTAGGACTTATCGGTCGGTTGCCTGTGGGAGAGAAGAGGCACACTTGCTGGTTTTTGATGCCTTTGTATTATGTTTCCGCTGTGTTGTACTCTCATATGTTCTCTTGGATTTGTCCGGTCGGCCCGTGATGTAATCGTTAAAGTCTAGACCATTTATTTACTTAACTTTGGGCTCCTATGTGTGTGCTAGCAATTGATCGTGGGACTAGCACGGCATACACATAGGATTTGGGGTCAAACTCAGGTCCCACAAAGTTGTTATCAGAGTCATACTGACCATGGTTTAGTCATAGTAAGCCATGTCGTCGGCTAGGTTTTTGCTTTGAAAAACTTCCATTCAAAATTCTCATCCATCTTCTAAAACTTTCTAAGTATCCATCCTATTTAGGGTCTCATTTTACTCTACTCAACTCCCTCGGCCAATAGTTTTTGTCTTAAACTTAGGCTTCATTTAAAAAAACAACTGTAGTGGCTGCCTTTTTTAAAAAAAACCTTGCCCATGAAAATGGTTTCAAGTACTTCTGAAAATATGTTCTAAATGGTTCTTGAAGTTACTATAAAAAATCTAAATGGTTTATTGAAAAGCTGCAGCAAAATGCTTGCAAAATATTTTTCAATTTTCAGCTTGATTTGAAAGAATTCTCAGCTAGAGCAAAATCTAAACCCTTATATCCTTACCTACTGTCTTTTGGTTTCAAAATGATCTTTTTGCAGCACATTAGACATTAGTAATAATAATATTATAGGATAAGGACTTAAGGGGTAGTTGTATCGGGATGGGAAAACGTTGTATCTTCCATTTGTTCTTGTTGTTTGTGTGTTGTGGGATGTACGATATAGTTGCTATATTCATTACATCCACATTTACCGTAATTTTGACAAATTGACTCTTCTATAAAACTTATTTTCAAAATAGATCGTGCCAAAAACTAATTTCAAGATTAGGTCGTCACCTCAGCGCCAACCACGATGGCGCTGAGCTAAAACGTTTCAGCGTCACCTTAATTGGCGCTGAGATATGTCCGATCGTGGAACACATTAGCCACGTAAGAAGAGCTCAACGCCATATGAGTTGGCACTGATATCTCAAGTTTAAAAGGCTTTGCGGGCAACAATAGACACAAATTGAAGCTAGCTTGGTGGTTGGTTGTTGCGGCTGCAAGTAAAAGGTCCAGGTTCGATTCTCACCATTGCATTCAACTCATTTTTTTTCTATCGCTCCTTGCTCCTAAATTAAACTCATTTTAATTATGAACTCAGTAAGAACAAATTTACTTTTATCGCTTCTTGCTCCTAAAACTCATTTTATTTATTAATTTTTTTTCTATCGCTCCTTGCTCCTAAATTAAACTCATTTTATTTATAAACTCAGTAAGAACAAATTTACTTTTATCGCTCCTTGCTCCTAAAACTCATTTTATTTATAAACTCGGTAAGAACAAATCCGATAACCTAAATTATACATCACAAGTTTTAAAATACAAAATTATAATCATTGAGCTTAATATTTTAATTAATGTTTCAAACTTGTTTATTCCAAATTGAACATAAAATAATCCCCTGTAAAGGAGAAACATAAAAATAAATCTACAAACAAAATATGTGATTGTTTGAAAAAAAATTCAATTGAACAAGATTTAAGGAGAATATATAAGAAAGAAAAAGCCTGAAAAAGAGCCATCCTTGGTTCGAACGAGGGACCTGTGAGTTGGAGCAAAAGACCCCTACCACCAAGCTAGCAGCACACACAGTCTTGTGGTCGTTCTAAGATGTCAGCGCCAGCTCATACAGTGCTGAGCTCTTCTTACGTGGCTAATGTGTTCCACGTCGGACATGATCCGCTGAGACGTTCTGGCTCAGCACCATTGAGGTTGGCGCTGAGGTAATGGCCTATTCTTGGAATTAGTTTTTGGCATGGTCTATTTTGAAAATAAGTTTTATAGAAGGGTCAATTTGTCAAAAATACGGTCCACATTTGTTTGTAACCTTAAAACCTAATTTCTAAAACTTGTGGAAACTAAGAGGTATAATATATATTACTCGCCTCATTTAGTTTTTACTTCTAACCATCCCGCGTTTCATTTCTTTTTCTTCAACCTTGAAGCAAAACAGCATGGCGCAAACCCAGTTACTTGAGAAGATTGAAAGGAACATCGATTCAACACACTTGCCAACTTTTGCATGAATCAAATCTCATACTATAAGAGGCTGACAACTTTTGCATGAATCAAATCTCATACTATGAGGTATAGTAGATGTCTTGTCCAAAGGTTCCTTTGGAGATTGCAATCTCTTGCATCATAAGATTGATCACGTGAAATATATGTCCTTGCATAATGGCATCAACCACATGCCAAGCCACTCCCCAAATGTCATCGTTATTTCCACAATGGGGAAGAATAGTGGCCCTCACAATCCAATTCACCACACTTGGGAGGGTCCTCAAACCGACAACTTTTCCATAAGTATGCCTCCCACCATCCTCATACTCTCATAGAACTGAGCTAATTCATTAATAAAAACAGATTGTGGGCATGCACTTCATGAAGATTGTCACCATTGCCAAACAGGATGTTCAAAAGGCTCTTGAACTCCCTTCTGTCGATAGAACACTGAACGGTTCCCAACATCCATTTCAAAGTATCAAAATCACCGGGCACCCACACAGTGGCATAAAATTGTCTAATAAACTCTTCATCATAATCTTGCCTCAAGGTCACAATGCGATAAATTCCAACCTACTCAAACAGATTTTGCAATACTTCAAACTCTGGGGTTTTATTGATATTCCTCCATGAAATCCACTTATGTTCAGCAAACGCCTTGCCCGGCTTGTAGATGGTCTCAAATATAGCTTTCTGGAACAAGGTGTGAAATCAAGGATCATCGGAGTCATTGGTTCTTCGGAATTGATCATGGTGCCTAATGATGGTGTACTAGGTGGGGTTTCTTAGGTATAGAAAGAACTGGATCAACAGATCAACTTCCATCTCATCATCACTTTCCTCCTCATCCTCATCATCATTGTTGCCATCATCACTCCCATTATCATTCTCATCACCCTCATCTTGGTCCACCTCAACACCCTCTTCTTCTTCCTCACTTTGAGCATATTGTTCTGCACTGGACTCCTCTTGCTCACTCTCAGACACGATGACCACGACGAGTCCGAGGTGCCATCACTGGATACAAGGAGCAAGGAAAAGGATATTAGCGAATATTTAAACACTTGTTTAGGTGTGAAGAAAAAATTGCTAACTTCCTGTCAGGGGCGGTCAGACACTGGCAATAGGCCGGTCAGACCGCCAACCTGCGATCGGTCAGACCGACGGCACAACCGCCGTTAGACCGCCAATGGCACTGGTCAAACCACCACTAACAGAGGAGCACAAGCACAAAATTTCTCCACCTCTACTCAAATGATTAACATGCTAGAACAATATTCACATGTTCATTAAGAAAAGTGTGTATTTCATCAAGATTGAACTAGAAGGAGAAAACTACCCTTAACCCTAATAGTGAAATAGATTGAATTGAGATGAAGCACAAGAGAGAAGTTGATTTACCGGATTGAAGAGATGAATCACACCAAGAAACTACCCCTATTGGTGCAAAACAAAGAACACCACTTCCATGCCATGGATCAATAAATCAACCAAAAGAGTAAATAATCCATAGAATAGAGAGAGGAAGTGGAGAAGACTCACTTCCGGTGTAACCGGAGCGAAATCCACGATCAAACCGAGAGGATTTGGTGGATGGATGAAGCTAGGGTTTGATAGAGGAGAGAGATGAAGAGTTTTCAGGTTGGGGATGAGAGGAACTGAATGGGGAGGAGATAGGTTTGGGTAGAACCAGAAAGGAGAATTTCATGGACCCACCATGTCTAGCTGGTCAGACCAGCCCTATGCGACCGGTCAGACTGGCCTATATGGCCGGTCAAACCGCCTGTCCCCTGTTGGCCGTGCACAACCCTTGCACAACCAACACCCCCACACACAAAAACACCAAATAAAATTTTATTTTGGAGCATTTTAAGATGTATGAGTTGAAATATAGTCTTGAGCATGCAGGCGCTATTACTACATGCATATAAATGTCTTTCTGGCGAGTTGACTTGAGTCAATGACCAGAATATATTCTCAATCAGTACAATGTACAAAAGATATGCTTTAGTTGGGGAGGGGGATAGCATTTTCCATGCCGTCTTCTTTGGAAGAGGAGTTGATTCCTTGCTTACTGGGAAAATAGGAATTAATAGTTAAACTCCTGGATAGAGATAGGAAGGTCGCACTCTAATTACAGATAGATATACTGTACATAAAACAGTAGTGATACAGCTATTGTAAAATGTTTCAAGACTTCAAAGGAATATGTTGAGAAAAGTTTATGACTGTGTTATCTGTGTTCTAAACTTGCGTTCTTACTCTTCTATATACATACCCAACATAATACACAATAAGCAAAATATAATATGCAAATGCCTTGGGAGTGAAATGAGCAAATACTTGGTAACAGTGAAAAAAAATTGGTGGGCTGAAAATGATGCATAGCTGCTTTGTGCAAGACTAGTGCCACAGTTTCAGCATTGGGATGCCTATGCACGACACATTGACAGCCACCACTCACCTGCTGATAACCAGACGCTAAATTGGCAATTGTAAATGGCAACACCTGGAAGCTATATTGCTTCAGCGATGGGCTCCAGTTGAAAGCAACATATTCCAATAGGACCATGGACGGCCTTATAATATAGAGTTCAGTCCAATTTTGAGAAATTCTGGATCACACAAAAGTTGACAATCACAGATTAATATCACGCAAACATCAGAAAATGATGGCCATGGTATTAAAAATTGCCGCCCCTTGCCCCAGGTTAAGTGACAACTGAGGTTGGGATCTTCTTGAGCAGGCGCATGATCTGCATGACAAATGGCGTTAATTAGTCCACAAATAATATATACTCCATTATCAGAATGTTCATCCTTAAAACCACATTTGGATACCCAAAAAGAAAAGATTGGTCCACAAATTTGGTAGCAACAGAGATCATTTATATATTGATCATGCAAAGTAATAATAAACATCTTATAAATGATGAAACTATCCTTAATTATTTGCACGTACAATAATTTGCAAATTAAGTAGTTGTACCGTTGGTAGAAAATGGAGTAGCAGTGTACCTTTTATTTAAATTATGTAGCGTGCCATAATTGCATAATTTAAACTATTGCATACGTGACATCCATTGCTGCTTTCAGCTGAGTCACCAACTCCTATCCATGCTCTCCAAAACTATCATTCTGAAGCCGACTCCACTCATCTACCTATATTAGTAACCCCGAACAATAGTCAAGCAGACAATGAGAACCAATTGGCAAACTTGATGTGAGCTCCAGTAGTAGCTCAGAAGCTGAAACCCCCAGAGGTCAGTAACTCTTTCCTGCTTTCTACACTTGTTCCCTTTTGATTCAGCTTCTGTGATGCTTATATTATTATTGTTTAAATTTTAGCAACCCAAAACTCATGAAAAGAAAAACAGAAGGCCTTTAGTCATTTATTGATCTTTGTTACCTTTTTGTATTTCTAAGAATTGATTATTCATTGCCATGTTCTTGTAGTAAAGTACATATGGCTGCCTTTTTATCATGACTTGACCTGATAATTCAAAGGTTCCAACAATCTTCCATACCAAGTCTGATGAACGCCCAAATCATACGAATCCAGAGATTTTGTGAGAAGCAAGCAACATATAACTAAATTACTAGTCAGACTAGCGAGGGATTGCCTATTCAATTTATGCAGCTTTGCAAATACAACGAATCCTTCAGTTCCAACCATCTCGAGAGAAAAGCCTACAGACATAACTAAACCAGTTCCATGGACTGGAGGGAACCAGCTAACATCTGTGAACAGAAACTACCAACAAAACGGCCATATCCTTCACTCAGTGACACCAGCAGTGAGGGATCATGCAATCGGTACCCCCGAAATCATTATGATGATACACCAATGAGAATTAAGTTTATTTGTAATTTTGGTGGTAGATTCTTACCAAGGCCGAGTGATGGTCAGCTCCGGTATGTCGGAGGTGAGAGGCACTTGATTAAAATTAGCCGGGACATTTCATGGAAAGAGCTCATCTGCAAGACATCAAAGTTAATAAGGCGAGCTCATATGATCAAATACCACCTACCAGGGGAGCCAATGAACATGCTCATTTCCATCACCTGTGATGATGACCTCCGGAATATGATTGATGAGTGCATTGTTCTAGAACGAACCAAAGTATTGTTGACCGTTTACCTCTTTGCTGATAATGATGATGAGCGCCATGTGCATTTCGTATTAGGAAGCTCATCCAGTACAGACAAGGAAGCGCAGTTCATTGCTCTTGTCAATGGGCTCGTCAGACCAGGTGAGGAATTGAAAAAGCAGAGGCTTAGAAACACCTCAGCCAATGACCTAGATCAACTTATGTTTGACATCAATGAAGAAGGGTTGTTAGCCAGGACAGACAAAGCTTCACCAAACGTCCAAAGTAAGCTCTCACCAAGTATCGTCAAGGTACCGCTGAAGACATCAAGGGAGCAGCTGGAGAACATGCCTCCAAGTTCCCAACTAGCTGTGACCAACCAAGATTACAAGGCACCAAGAAATGAAGATAACCCACTGTGTACCGCCAGAAAGACAAATAATGCTCACCTTGGCTCCTCTGTACCTTCTGAATCCACGTGCATAGGTAAGGTGGAAGCTGGGGCTCATGCTGTCTCCAGGCATCATCCAGGACAGAGAAATACTGCTACAAACATGACCAGAAAGAGCAACCAAGCAACAGAAGATCAGGTAAAAGGATCACCAAGAAAACAGCTTCCGATACAAGTAGACAGCAGAGGTGTGAATGTAGTGTCATCAAATTCAAACAACAATAGCCTAACGATGCATATACATCTACCTGTTTATGAAAAGGTTGCATCCTTATCAGGGGGTTCAGAGAAAACAGTCAACCAGCCAACCTCCCATGATAACAAGATGAAACTAAAAACATATAGCACCCAAGAAGAAGCTGTGTCTCACTCAGCATCCCATAATAAGACGGAGATGCATAAACGTAGTCTTGACTTTCCTACTCCATCACGATGCCATGATGATACGTACAACAGTACGAACAGTACAAACCTGCATATTCTGGAGAAGTCAATTACAACTAACAACAAGCAGAAGCAACAGCCTGCAGTCATGTGCATTGACATTTTGAAGAAAAACCATCCTCCTGAACCGACCAAAGGTGAAACAGTACTTTCCTGTTCTTATCTATCTTCAGACAAGACAACTGAGCTGCAGAAAAATATTCTAGTCAGATCTTCAAGTGAGCGACAAGAACGACCCAACAGTCCAAAACCAGATGAACATTTATCAACAGCCCGTTCTCGATCAGTTGGTGCAGATAGAATTAGCCCTCAGATCAGAACTCCATCGCAAGAATCTAAAGATAATGTTGCACCATTTATCGAAGAGTCTGAGGTACATCTATAATCTAGTTTCTTGTTACAATTGAAAAGTTATAATTTACTGTACAAATTCTGAACAATCTTTTGGCAGGCATGTGAGACCAAGAACAGTGAGGAAGCTTTATCTGCAAACACAGTAATGGGGAGAGAACTTATAAGTAATGTCCAGGTTGTAGTGAAATCCTTATCTAATGCTACATTCAGTCACAAAAAATTGACCAATGAAATTCTACTATAATATATCAGAAAATGCTATACTCCACAAGACTAGAAGTGTAATATTATGCAAAGCATACTTTATAACGGATTTGCACATCATTTTATATATATCCAAGTTTTGCGTCGTAAACATTAGCTTTAGTTTAAAAAAAACACGGCCAGCATTCTTGGGCGTTATAAAATATACAATGTTTGGGACAAGATTTGGTCAACTTTTTAAAATTTTGACCATCAATATTTTGAAGTTCTTAGGTTACAAACAAAAAAATTGGTGTGTAGATTTGCCTCGAAAAGTACCATCATAATATCATAAGCTTATTAGATTTTATAAACTTACTTTAATATAACATCGAAGGTCAGGATTTTAAAATTTTGACCAAATCGTATCCAAAATGTCATATAATTTTGGCAGTGGATGCCATACAAATGACACATATTCCCAAATTTCTACCATTAAATGGGAACTAGAGTTTAAAAAAACTTATTCCTACAGTGGATGTCATACAAATGACAGGTAATAAACAATGGGGACCTTGAAGATCTCCGTGAGATAGGCTCTGGTTCATTTGGGACTGTTTTCCATGGAAGATGGAAGGGGACAGATGTTGCCATTAAGCGCATAAAGAACAGCTGTTTTATGTACCCATCGTCTCAGGCAGATAAACTGGTAAGCCTATATGAACTCACCCAGATGATTTGAAGTTGCAATAGCTAGTTAGCTCCTGAGGTCTTGTACTCCAGTAATCCAACTTTTAAAAGATCCTCATGATTGTGCATGCCTATCACATGTAGTCATATTAATTTTATCTTACTCTTTGAATTGAAAAAAGAAATAAAACTATAGATCAACAATCCCACCAATATGTCCTATAAACCAACTACATTGGCCAATATCGGACCCAGACCAGGGAGCTCCTCACCAGGTGAGAACAGCTGGTATGGAATACGACCAAGAGCTGCAGTGGCCAACTGGTTCCAGAAATAAGACACCTCTATGGCTCTGAAATCCTAGTATAGAAATTCAGTATTAACTAAAATTTAGCACTATAAAAAAAATGTGCTGCAAATATTACTGTGTTGCCCATCATGTATTGTCATGCAGATCACAGAATTTTGGAGAGAGGCTGCTATAATCTCAAAACTTCACCATCCAAATGTTCTAGCACTTTATGGTATTGTAAATAATGGACCTGGGGGAACATTAGCTACTGTAACAGAATTCATGATCAATGGATCCCTCAAGAAAGTCCTCCTTCACAAAAACAAATATCTTGATTGGCGCAAGCGCATAATGGTTGCAAAGGATGCAGCCATTGGAATGGAATACTTGCACTCCAAGGACATTGTCCACTTTGATCTGAAATGTGATAACTTGTTGGTGAATATTAAGGATCCCTCTCGTCCCATATGCAAGGTATGTTCACTTAACGTTACAGTAGCATAGATTATGACAAAATTATCTTGTACATGCAAATGTGTGGATAAATATGTTTCACACCTTAGATTTGTTATATAAACTGAAGGATATTGTGTATAAAACTGGGGGCCGTAACAGACAAATAATGGTGCAACAGGTTGCTGATTTTGGTTTGTCGAAGATGAAACAAGCGACTCTTGTTTCTGGTGGAATGAGAGGAACTCTTCCTTGGATGGCTCCAGAATTGCTGACAATGAGTGGCACAAAAGTATCCGAAAAGGTAAAGTTCTGATTTCCAATTTGCATATTTGCATGTGAAAAAGGGAAAGATAGACAGTACCTGTTGTGTTTTTATAAATTCGAAATTTGGAGATCCCCTGGAAAAACAGCTTTATAGCGTTAATATTATCATTATTAGTTAAACAAATGGATGTTGTAGAGTTTGACATGCACCCCCCATAGCCGAAGGAGAAAGATTTCACATATCAAACTGACAGTTTATTACTTGATGTTATTAGATAGCATATATGTAACAAAAGAAAGGTGGGCTTTACATTTTATAAATAAATGAGATACTGGTGTACTTGGCATTTACTCATCAGACCACCAAACCGTATCGGTATGATCAAGATATGTGATGTGCTCACTAGCAGTTATCTATTACGATCAACCACCACTGATTTCTGCCCTATAAAAGACAACGACTGACTTTTGTCCTAAAAAAGCAACCACTGACTTCTAACAAGAACTAAACTACTGAAGGATATAATTTTTTTTTCGCCGGGACGGCAAAGGAATGTCGGCTGTAGTATATTAAGAAAAGGAGAGAATGTACAGTGTAGCGAGGCTTTGCAGCCCGCGCCTATTTACTGAAGGATATAATCATTAGCGGTTCATGAAAACATAGGAGCACAGAAACTAAGCCATACTTATTTTCTTTTTCAAAGACAATGTAGGGGAGGGCCCCACAGTTAGATTTTATTAAAAGATATTATGTACAAAGATTACAACAGATAATTCACGCATTCATCAAAGAATTAAGGTGTGCCATGAAAAAGAGAACCGCACTGTCTTTCTTGGAATTTTATATTTTCTAGCCTGAACACATGGTTTTTATGCTAATACAGATTGATGTATATTCATTTGGCATTGTGATGTGGGAAATTCTGACTGGTGAGGATCCATATGACGGCATGCACTATGGAGGAGTCATAGGTATGCATTTAATACAGATACTCTGGAAAAAAAATAAACTCGTTTGCTGAGTTGCATGTTCTGTTGCTTTGATCCTAAACTCGATAATTAACCCTCTAGGTCTGCAAAATTGATAATAAGGCAAGACAGGACAAACCCAGGCTTAGACTAGTGATTAATTCCTTGTGTCCCAAAACACATATTACAGTATTAGCAAAATTCCTTTGCCTCACTGACAAGTCACAACCATAGCTCAGTGAAATAACCGATTGTCACATAAAGGAAGAGGTGAACATTCAGTTGCATATAAGAAATTCACCTTAAATTAGTAATTATAGTGATGATAGTGCAAACCAATTTTGTTTTTTAAGTTTTCTGGGAAAAAAAAAGTCAAGTCAAAATTTGAGAACATTCTTGCAAAGTAAAATCTGTCCAAAGATATACAAGAGTTTGATTTATATCCATAATAATCAATTATCCATTCATCTCACATGATAATGTCAAAAATAAAATAAGTTATACTCCCTCTGGTCATAAATATTTGGCGTTTATAACTAGATTTGGTTTGTCGTGTGTGAGGTAGGGGCACTCACACAAGTGGTGACCTAAATGTAGTTTGTCATGTCATCGTACAAGGGTTACATTTTATTCAACTCCAAAGTTTGAAATATTGTATATGCATTCACTGTCTACAGAGATCATGTACTCCCTCCGTCTCAATATAAGTGCAACCTAGTACAGATGTGGCATATCCTAAGACTACGAATCTGAACAGCTATCTGTCCAGATTCATAGTCCTAGGATATGTCACATCTATTAGGTTGCGCTTATATAGAGACCGAGGGAGTAGTTTTCAGGCTGTCACTAAGGAAGCCATCCAAGTATTCAAAATATACAGCAACTATAGATGTTAAATTTGAACATCTTCCTATATGTATCATCAGAAATGATAAACAGGCAATAAAACCAGGTTCACAAAATCAGAAGTCACCACTGGTAACCAAGATTAGGTGAGATATCAGTTACTTTCAGTAAATTGCACCCACGGTACAACAACTTGGCAGGTGGGTGCGATATAGCGCAAGAACTTGAGAATTGAACGTCCGAGTGCAACAACTTAACAAGTGGGTGCGTTCTAGTACAAGAACTTGACAATTTAGTATTTTGGTGAATCAATTTGGCTAAGCATATGCTAGGTGAGGTTTTTCACGATGTCAATATGCCAATACATAGTAATCCTATGGATATTACCTTATAATATTGAATTTAATCTTTAAGAATTATATTGCACATACAATTTACATTCAGTTACCTTTAAGAATTTTTTGTTTTCTTCACCTTCTCAAATATTAACCGAAATATAATAATTTCTACATCCAGTTTAATTGACTTTCAGTTATTAGTTATTAGAGTTATTAGTTATTAGGATAAAAATATAAATATGTTTATACGAATCCACGCTAGTATATTGTCAAGTACTTAAAATTTTGAATTTATATAAAAAATGCTCCAAATAATTAAGTTGTCACAACTTCTTAATTTATTATATCAAAATCGTACCTACCTTGCAAGTTGTTGCATTTATACGATCACTTATAAAGTTCTTATACTAAATTATACCTTCTTGCCAAGTTGTTGCACTAGAACGCTCATTTTTCAAGTTATTACACCAAATTGCACCCACCTGCCAAGTTGTTGCACCGTGGGTGCAATTTACTCTTTAATTTCCATGCTTGTCCTAGCTTGTTAGAGACCATTCCAGGTGATTGTGTCTGAACAGTGGCTAAATTAGGTAGATCCTGGCTGAATTTATCCTGTTTGCAAGCAATCCATGATTTACTAAGGCTGTGTACGGCAAGTCATTTTCCCAACTACCACTCCCTCATTTTCCACGTGCATGCTTACCAAATTGCTAAATGGTGCATTTTTTGCAAAAAAAAAAAGGATAGAAAAGTTGCTTTAAAAGATCATATTAATCCATTTTTCAAGTTTATTTTAGCTAAAGCTTAATTAATCATACACTAATCGATTGCTCCGTTTTGTGTGTGGGGAGGTGGAGTTCCTAACCTCCATCTCCGAACACAGCCTAACAGAGTTTAGAGACTAGCAATTCTTAGCCAGTTTTTGAAAACCACTTCACTGAGGGAGGTCACTGCATTCTGCAAAGTTGATTGAGACATTATAATGCTCTGCATATAATTTTCATTAATTATAGCGTAGAAATGCAAGATTCATATGCTAATAAAATGGCATACCAAAAAATGCAGGGGGCATTTTGAGTAACACACTGAGGCCACTAGTGCCAACTTCATGTAACCTGGAATGGAGGAAACTGATGGAGCAGTGCTGGTCAACTGAACCTGAGCGACGACCTTCCTTCGCTGAAGTTGCAACCCGTCTTCGCTCCATGCTAGAAGCAAGCCAAAGTGTGACTCTGAGAGTTAATTAGCATCACTCTCTGTCTGTATATCTATCATTTAGGTGCATGCTACAGAATTGCAAATATGAATGTTTCTTCTTATATTGAGTATCGCTTATAAGTATGCAATTGTATAACTCCTGCAGACCAAAGCTGACTATCGGGTGCCCCCTGTCTTGTATTGTACATGCATGTATCCACAGCATGAAACTGTAGGGGAAAAAGTAAACAGAAGCTCCCTTATCTATGTGAAGATCTTTACACTTTAGTGGGGATACTTTAAAGTTATCCAGATTCTGCATTCCGATTGTTTTATTCAAAAGGAACGCCTAGAGATGCATAACTTATAGTATCGGCCCTCAGATATGCATGCAGCACGCTCTATACCTACACACTAACTATTGTTTTAGGTGCAGCACATGTTTGGCACATTACCTATGTGAATGCATCATATCAGAGTTCATGTGTTGAAAATCAACAAGAGGTTACTACTGAGTTACCTTTGTGTCTCTTCGGATCTTCAGAGCTTGGTTCAGAAAATCTCTCGATCAGACAGTTGACTAAACATTGTTGCCAGTGCTTAACCAAAGCTACAAAGATACACGCAACATTGAATTCGACTTCCAAACTACATGGGGCCCTTCAGTTGTGACCTATGACCTGGCAGCGACACCTGCCACAAACATAGTACTGTTATACATTTGGTTAATCTTTTGATTACAAACAAGTCTGAATTACCATATGCAACAAGTTACCGAAGGTTATTCATCCAGAGATCATGCACATGTAAACTAAGGAAATAAGACAGTAGATTTAACAACTTGATATTTCCTAGAAGTCCAGTTCAAAATGAGTGTACCTAGATTATAGAACTTACAGAAACTGTTTTGACAATTTATGGTAACAAAATACCGAACCGCCAAACAACTCAGCAAGCATATAACTAGTGTTTTGTTTGAAGGAAACAAGGCCCAAAAAGGTCTGCAGCTCTAGATTATATCAGAAAGTGCAGTAAAGACCCGGCTGTTAGAGAAGGGACCATGGTGAAATAGTTCTGCAAAGATGCATCAGAATTGAAGTCTTGAACCATGCTTGATTGTTCATTGCTCACTACAAGAAATGTGGATCAAGCACACTGAATCGCTGGTTCATTAATCATCATTTAGTTTCTGCCTACCTTGTTCTGTTGGGAGCAAGATGCATTTGTACACCACAGCAATGAGGGCCAGAAAGATGTATCTAATGCAAATAACTAAATAAGCACACAAAGCCAGCTTATTTTCCTGACAATCCTGGCACAGGTAACATATTCAAATATCAGTAGTTTTAGGGTTATGTTATTGATGAAACTGAGTAGAGATTAGCCATTAGCCAAGTTATTTTTATTAATAATTTTAATATTAAATTGGAATTGTAAATCACAACCCAAACCAGATACTCCCTCCATTTCATATTATAAGTTGTTTGACTTTTTTCTAGTCAAACTTAAGTTTGACCAAATTTATAAAAAAATATAGTATTATTTTCAACACAAAACAAGCATATTATCAAACTATATTCAATGTTAGATTTAATGAAACTAATTTTATATTTTAGATGTTAAATTTTTTCTATAAACTTGGTCAAACTTAATAAAGTTTGACTAAGAAAAAAATCAAACGACTTATAATATGAAATGGAGGAAGTACTAATCAAGGGTATTGACCTCAATACATGTCAAAACTGATCAAAGGCCACTAGCAGAAATTTGTTCTGAGCTTGAGCAATTTAAAATGCTCGAGTAAGAGTAACAAGTACATAGCTATCAAGAAACATTACCTTTCTTCAGCCTTATGCACAGGATAAGACACCAAACAGCTTCACATAGAAGATTGATTCCTTGTATGTCAAGGAAATTTTGTAGAAGCCCTCGTCATCTCTAACGACAAGGTGTATCTACGCCCACACATTATTTGAGACAGTAAGGGCCCTAAGGTGTAAGCTGATACAGTAAAGTTTTAAATGGTACACAAGGAAATAACAAACTTTCACAAGATAACAGATACAAATAGCTACTTGACATTGAATGTAACTATCCATATTAGACTGTGTTGTTGAATATTATCATCTACTCCCTCTGCTCCTTTTTACTTGTTTAGGACATCAGCATAGTCTACAATGCACATGTTTTATTATTGCCTTTTCTAATCATATATCATGAAAATTACAGAAACAAAATAAAAGTATTTTCATGACAAAACTAATAATATCATTCTTACATATATAATAGTGAACGGAGGGGGGTGCTAATTTGTTGGATGAGAAAACATGCCATTGAAATTTACAAGATGTCCACACTGGAGGATTCATAAGAATTTTGCATTTATCTGCTTGTTGATATATCAACGTGACCTCTTCATTAGAACTTTAGACAAAACATCACATATTTTTACTAGAATTGATTAATATGTTCTGTAATTAGATTCCATGTACATAAATGCTGCTGACCCTTAATCCTAATCCTGCAACAAATATTGCATGATTATAATCTGATAATTCATTGACTTCCGCTTTAAAGCTAGCAAACTTTGCCCTGTCCTGAAAGCTGATTTAAAATCTCCATTGCTAATACATAATATAATCTAAAAAAAGTTATTTGCAAAATTCAAGCTTATAACATCCATCAACAGTTTTAATCCATAAGTCAACTTCCACTAGCTTGAGCTTCACATATAAGTAGGATTTACAAATTACATATAACTTCAGATTATTGGGTGAGATACAAAAATACACCAAATGCTCTTACTTAGTGGTGGTTTGCATTTTGGGCATCATATTTTCATTGCATACTGATAGTAAAAGGTAACCAATTAAGGAACATTTGACAAATACTCCAGCTATTTATCTTCGGCTCAAATAAATAAACAATTAACATTTTCCTACCTCGCTTCTCCACTGTGCAAACAACAGCAGGCATTCAAGTCATACAGACCAAAACGCCAATGGCGTTTTCAGATTATGCCCTTACCTTTTATACCATGGAACTTGTTTTCTCAAATATTTTGGTATGGCCCAAGCATGTCAGATGGGACTAGTACTAACCAATACAGACCAAGCAGGCTTTCAGCATCAAAGATGAAAATGCCTACTCTGTTTACTATTATAAGAAAAATATGATGATGCAACAATCTTTGAGGCGAGGACAAAATGCAGGGTTCTGTTTCATCTTCAAGTTTGAATATGTACATACCTCCCATATGATGTTTACAAGCATTTACTATATTGGGCAACATTGTACACAACAGCATCTATTATGCATGAACAAAATCAAATTAGAAATGAAAGATTCCACTGACCTGTAAACCAATTAAGAATACATAAATAATTTTAGTTATTAATGAGGTCCTGCAAAGATATCCGGAAAAGGTGTCACTTATAAATAGGATTGACACATGGAAGTGACCTGCTGTCATGATTACCATATTTTAGTCACACACAATCAATGATTCTTTTGAATTGATAAAGTAATAACACATTGATATGAACCACTATTCAGATTAACATATCCATAAGACAAACATGAGGTTCACTCAAGAAAAACAGAAGTCAACAGTGACCATAAATCTCCTAAAAGCTTCCACTGACAAACTGCCACATGAGCTTCTAATTAGTACTTCATCTTCTAGAGTTGCTTAATAGTATAGTTATAACGACAAATTCATGTCAGAACACCCCACAGTTACAACAGAAGCTATCCCCCTATTCCCCTGAATGATTAGCTCAAACTATCCTAGTGCGCAAAGGTAATGGTCAAAACTCAAAAGTAATAAAAGGCAGGAAACTATAGAACCTAGCGTTGTCTACATATTTATAGCTTCAAAATGGGAGGTGAACAGAGGCATCTTGGAAGCAATCAACTGTTTTACTCAGCATTCAGAAGTTGCCTTTGACGATTCCACTGTTTCTGTGATCTCCTGAAGAAGTTCTTTAGAAATAGCAGCTGGGTCGAGCTCATAGCTATCTTTAGGGACATTTGGAGCTTCTTCCCCTGACATCCTATAAAAGGGCACCTCATGTGAAAACCTAAACATCTCTTCTTTGGGAATTTTCTTGATGGCATTCAGGTCCTGATTTCGCTGAAATACTGTTCGAAACCCAGCAACCTTGACCAAGGGAATGACAGAAATGCCAAGATCCTCGTCATACTCATCCAGTACCTCAACTACATCATAGGCATGGAGAACTTTATCTGGAGTATCTTCATCCCAGTCAGGGGACCAATTTCGATACACAGCCCAGATGTTACCTTTCTGTGGATAAATTTTTATAACCCCACGTGGGCCTTTCTCCCATTTAATCTGGTGAGAGAACATGTTGAGTATATCACAGGTTTCATATCTACAAATCCGGAAATCACCACATGTCTTTGTGAAGCCAGACGAGACCCAGTTCAAAGAACCAAATTCACTGTTTGTCCTTGATGTGAGAAAGCTAATTTTGAGCTGGAATGGCTCCAAGGAGAGAACTTTCTGAATAAATGCATAATAACGAGGCATACCATCTTCATCATCATATGTAGCCCAAATTTGATCACTCTGAAAACATTCTTCAGTACGATCCTTATCGAAGTCATGGAAATCAGGATCAGGAACATTATAAGATAAAGGATCATCATTTTCATCATCAGCATCTGTGCTATTAACAGAAGCATTGTCCTCTGGATCAACATGTGCAGCTTGACGTGCAGTAGAATCATCTGATGCAAGAGATTCATCATCCCCACCACTTTCTTTAAACATGTTTTTCTTATTCTTTTTTCCATTAGCAGCAACCTGTGATCTTTTAGTCTGCATCTCCTTTAGCTTGTCCTTTAAATCGCTCTTTGCTTTTTCCATCAAAATACCTCTAACATCAAACTGCGTGAAGGTCTTGACTAAGCTGATGCGAGTAGGAGGTCTGGGTTTCCAACTGAATCCACCATTAACACCTTGAAAATGATGTGCTCCACTGTTGGTAGAAAATGATATATTTCCACCTGGAACTCCAAAATAATTGGCCCCTGAACCTGATAGAATGGATGAAGAACCAATTCCAATATCGTTACCCATAGTTCTCATCTTCTTAGATGAGTTGCCACCTGTTCCAAGGTTAAGATTCTCTGAGATATTCGCTTGCCTTTTTGGTGGATTGTACTTCCTCCGAAGAGCTTCTTCCCTTCTAGCAGCTGCTTGTGCCTCCTCCCTCTCTCTCCTAACTTTCTCATATGTGTGATGAACCACATTCGCGGCTTGAGCAGCAGCAGCAGATGATG